TGACTTCAGCCGTTGCAGCCTAGGGGGTGTGTTGGAGATAGGCTGCAATGTTGCACATTTGCGTGTCAGTCATTTGTTTGTTTAGGGTTAGGAATATTTGTTAGGTTGGGTGTAGCTCTTTTTATCTCCAACCTATCCCAACCCAATCCATCCCAAATCCCCACGATTTGGGAGGATTCCCTTGGGATTCTTTTCAATTCCCCTTATCCCTTCCAACCCTCTCCTATGGTTAGTACTTAAGCTTGTATGCCCTCTCTCATTTTAATCAATCAAATTCCCGTTTACTTACAACCCCCAGGGCTCGCAGACCCCTGCGGCGGCGGCGGAGAAGTTGACACCGGGGCGGAGACAGGCGGTGAGATCGAAGCCGCGGGGCCCCCGGATTCAACCGACTCCTCAACTAGGACAACCGATAGGAGGGGAGTGACGTGAGACATACCGGATGGGGTAGGACGGGGGGGAAGAGGAGCAGGGGCTACCGGGGGAGAGGGGACCAGGAACAGGGGCGGGGCAACCGGGAGATCTCGGTTGGAAAAGCAGGTGTAGAAGAAGATATACTCATGAAAAGTGATGTCACGAGAGTGAAAGAAACAGTGAGACGGCGGGTGGTAAAACTGCCAATCAAACGCGTCGAGGGGGAAACTAAGGAAAATACAAGGGACGGTGCGCGGGGTGAGCTTTTCCGTACTAGAGGCACGAATGTGAGCAAGGCAGCCCTAGAAATGGAATGCCGATGCGTCACCAGGGAACCCGGTCCAGAGAAGGGTCGCCAAAACCTGCGGCCACATGTTAAGCTGGTGAGCGGCGTAGCGAACAGCGAACGGCTACAGAAAATGGGGTGCACTGGCATGGATCATGGAGGTACGAGCCACCTCCATGACCAAACCGATACGTCGCTCAGCGAACCCATTCTGCTGCGGGGAGTCCGATATGGTGTACGACTGGGTGATGCCCTCCGCACGACAGAACTGGCCAAGCCGATCGGAGGCAAACTCGCCGCCACAGTCGGAGTGAAGACGCAGCTACGGGCAACTACCGGACCTGAGGAGGGGTCAGCAAGCGCTACAACGGCAGGGGCGGCTAGCGGCGGGAATGAAGTGTGGTCGCGAAAGAAGTAGGCGGATGCACCGGAGTCTTGCGTGAACGAGAGCGTGGCGGTAGCGGCCGCATGCGGAGGAGCTAGCATGGAGCAAAGGCTAAACAATGCAGGTGGTCATACACCTAACGCAGCAGGGGAAACATGACTACACTCAGTGGAGACACCTACACTAGGCAACACCGGGTAATGAGGTCTAGTCACACTAGAGTGATCAGCATACATCGCATACATAGCAGTCCTAATCTGATCCATGTCAAGCTCAAAGACAGGCACACGGCGGCGCACCAGGACATACCAGTCCAGAGGGTCCGACGTGGGATGAAAGCGGAGACGGAAGAGGTTGTCGAGGCGGCGGTAGCAACGGACGGTGGTGTGACTGGGACGGTCGCAGATGGTGCCGCGACGAGGGGCGGTTTGAAGCTGGTACTGGCAGGTGACCACACTGGAGCTGCCACCCGATACCGAGCTGTGTGGCGCACCACGACGACGACCACCACCAGTGCCACCAGGCCACGAAGGCGGCGAGGGTCACCAAGGTGGCTGCTGCTGCTGCTGCGAATACTGCTGCTGAGACTGGTGCTAAGGGGGCTACTGCTGCTGCTGAGGCTGCTGCTGCTGATACTACTGCTTCTCTGGGGCACCAGCCCCGGTCCCCTCGTCTACACCACCGTCCCCGCCCCCACCTCCACCACCCCCACCACCCTTCTCTCTGCCACGCCTCCCCTTGGGGCGGCGGCCCTTACCCGGACGCTGTTGCGCTGAGGCCGCAACGGCGGTCTCAGCAGCAGGGGCTGTCTCAACGACAGCGTCAGAACTGTCAGAGTAAGTGCACTGGGAGGGAGCACAATACCGCTAGACTGAGCGATAGTGCGCTGGCAGGTCGCTATCGTGGACAGGGCGGTGACAAAGGCAGTGAGGGTGAGATCACCTTGGTGTTGACTAAGGAAGTGATCGCGGGCAGTGGCTAGGCGGTCATGCAGGCACATGGCAATGAGGTAACGGGTAGCGCAAAGCGGCGGTAGGAAGACAGTGAGTTGTGCGCCAGTGCTAGCGGCACGCTAGCTAGTCTCCAGTGTGCGGAGGTGAGTGACAAGGTCAACGACAGTGGAGAAAAACTCAAGGTCAGGGAACTGCATGGGGAGGATCAGGCAGCCGGCAGAGACCGAGGCGGGGGTGGAATAGCGTGCAATGACGGCATCTAAGTATTCCTTAGCATTTGAGACAGCGATAAAGCAGGGACGCTCAGACAGCGGGAGGGCGTGACTAATGGCAAGATGAGTAACGGCTTGGCGCAAATCCCAGACAGCGCAAGCAAGCTTAGCAGTGACAAAATCCTCACGCTCAGCAGACGTGGGGGGGTCAGGGGGGGCAGCAGGCGGGGCGGAGCGAGGGAGCTTACCGTCAACATGGACAGCCAGGGAGTGGCTGTCCTAGCGCTGCCCGGTCAGCTGGCGGAGGAGGACGATAAGCCACACCTCAAACTCAACGACTCGACCCTCCACGTCCAGGCGGAGCAGAGAGTCCGCCATCACCACGGCTGCAGCAGCTGACTGCCGCTGACAAGGGGAGGAGAGAAAGCGGAGGAGGGCAGTGTAGAGCAGTGGAGTATGGTGGAGTGCGGTGGAGTGTAGTGGGGAGCGGTGTAGTGCAGTGGAGAGGGTGAAGTGCGGTGGAGAGCGGTAGAGACTGCCGACGAGAGCGCCGGATCAGAGGGAAAGCCAAGGCCGGCGGGGTGGGGGGCGGTGGCTGGTGGCTACGGGCGTCTAGCGACGACGGGCGGGCGGTTACAGGCGGGCCAGCGACTACGCGCAGGCTGGCAGCAATGGGCGGCCAGCGGGGACGGGTGGCCAGCATCTACTGGCGGCTGGCGGCTATAGGCAGCCAGCGGCTACGGGCGGCTGGCGGCATTGGGTGGCCAGCGGCGACGGGCGGCTGGCGGCAATGGGCGGCTGGCGGTTACGAGCGGCCAGCGGCTGCGGGCGGCTTGTGGCAACGGGCGACCAGTGGCTACTGGCAGCTGGGGGCTACGGGGGGGCAGCGGCTACAGGCGTCCATCAGCGACGGGCGGGCTGGCGGCAACGCGCGGCCAGCAAGGACAGGCGGGCTAGCGGCGACGGGTGGCCAGCGGCGATAGGCGGCCAGCGACGGCGGGCGGCTGGCAACTACATGTGGCCGGACATTTGGCGGCTATGAGCGGCTAGTAGGCTACGGACAGTTGGCGGCTACGAGCGGGGGCCAGCTGGTGGCTAAGGGCGGCCAGCGGGTTTGCTGCTACGGGCTGCTGGCGGCGACAGGCGGCCAGCGGGCTACGGGCAGCTGGCAGCGTGAGCGGCAGCGACGGACGGTGGGCAGCTGACGGCTACGGGCGGCTGGCGGCTACGGGCGGCCAGAGGCGACAGGCGGCCAGCGGGCTGCGATCGACGGGCGGCGGGCAGCCGGCGGCTACGGGCGACGGGCGGCTAGCAGCAGCTAGCGACGGACGGCTAGGAATGGGCGACTAGCGACGGGCGGCTTGGGCTAGGGCTAGGACGAGGGCGGAAGCGCAAGTGGGCAAGATCCTAACCTAGCGTGATACCATCTCAGAGTAAAAAGTTGACTAGAATGATGGGATACAAGGGAATATAACCTAAGATATTGTACTCTATATGAGCAAGCACCTATAACATATACAAAATATATGTTGATACTCGCTTGGGGATTTTCGCGAGCCCGTCGCCTCATGGCGATCTCCTCGCTATTTTCACCGTCGAATCGATGAACCTCGTCGCCACGCTCGAAAATGTCTTCGCCGCGTGTCGACGACGTCAGTTGCCACACGAAATACAACCGAGGTTGAACAGTGACGAACCCCAGAAACCCACGTGACAGCAAAATCTGTCTGTTGCCGGGGGGAGGGAAAATACGGTCCATCCGATCGTCCGAAGGCAGGGATCGAGTGGCGATGGTGCACACACGCTATCGTAGTTGTTGCAGCTCATCATATCTAACTGCAAGACAACTGCTATGCAGCTCCGTGCCCTCCAGCCATCCCTCTTCCCCCCCTCCAGAAAACAACAAATTATGGGCGGTGGAAGTTGTTGCCTAGGAAAGTGCTCTGAATACCAGGTGTTATGGGTGGAAACCCAAGAGTAGCGCGGAAGTGAATATCGAGATTCGAAATGACCGAATTATCAGTGTTATCCGAATGACCAGAGTGTCGATACAAAGAATGACGAGGCCACATATAGGAACACCAGTGCGAATCCCAACCGCGTGATGCACAGGTTCGGAGAAGGCATCCGAGGACGCGGAGCTCTCCGGAATGACACGGAATGGTTCAGTGTAGCACGTACGGGGACGGAACTAGGGCCTAGTCCGGTTCTATGTATGTTCGGTGTATGCGCTAGTAGTGCGCCTCAATAAGGAATTACTAATTCCTTAAAAACTATCTTAGGCATCACTGTTCTGGTCAACGTTTGGCCACCCGTGGATGCCCAGTTTTAGATGGTGGCAGGCAAGTGAAACGTGTAGCGGTTTGCCAGACAGCAACAATGCACTGCTGGTTGGACGAGGACGTGAGGTCCTTGGGATTCCCATTTATGTCATTAGGGTTTGCGACACAAAGAAAACAATTCGCGAAAACATTGCGACATTGACGGAACGGGCAACAAACTTCTGTTGGGGTCTGCGCCGTGGTGCCACCGACGGAAACGGAATCGTGATGAGCCACGAAACGCGTGCGACGTCAGTGCCGTGCAGGTTTGGCGCGAAACAAATGGCAGCAGAGGTCAGTTCCCAGGGTAGTTCACAGGGCAGGGGGACAGGGCAGGACAGAATCAAGGGCCATGGAAGCAGGCTGTACTGCAAGGCTAGCTGTGCGTGTGTGCGTGAGGGGGAGCCCAGGAGGAATCACTGGCAAGATGGGTCATGTGTCAAGGCTCTCTGCCACAAGTGGCTCGAGATAGCTTATTTGTACGGAACTAGAAGCCTAGTGCTGATCTCAGCTTGCTGACTTAACCCCGTACTGTAACTACTAACTTATCCTTTTTCATGAGTTAAGCTCGCTCTCTGAACAGCAACGGATAGCCCTTTTTTCGTGCATCCGTTACTTTTAGGTCTCCATCAGGACTGTTATGTTCATAGCGCTTCGCGACAATGGCAAGCCTTTGGGGTTCCCGACGCATGTCGAAACAGCTCACGCGCCAATCAAAACGCGAGAAAGGCAAAAGGCCCGAAGAGCCTCAGGAGCTAGATTTAACTCGCCTGCAGTCCACTAATTCGAGGACTCGCAAGAAGGCGGAGCTTATAAAGAAAGTGAGCGAATCGCGTCGCCGGTTCCACTTTAGAGAGCTCCTGTGCATCGCGCTGCCGCCGAACGCGACGCTCGAAGACGGACAACTACCATGGCCGCTCTGCTCCCCTCCCACCACGCCGGACGCATCCGGCCGAGGTCAGTTGCCGGGCGCACTCGGCACAGGTCAGTTGCCGTCACCGTACAAAGCAAGGCCGTGAGACGTCATAGAACTCGCGTAGATTCGGTGACTGACGCGCACTACCTTCCCCAAACCACCTGATGTCTGTCGAGAGCTCCATATAGTCTAGTCTAGTCGCGGCTACTCGCCCTAAACAAGGCGGTCGCGTACCCGCTTAGGCTCAAAGTTCAACCGCCGGTGCCCTCCAAGTCACGTCACGAGGAGTCTTTTCAAAGCACCGTGCGAAGTACCTCCTGACTTGAAAGCAGCAATCACGCAGGACATCCGTGTTTCATGCGAGGACGGTCATAAACTCATCGACCCGCATACTAGACCCACAGAGTGGCGAAAGAAACCCGTTGCCGTATCTGCCGTACTTAAGTCTCGTGATCCCCGCCTATGTCTCGTCCCGCCTTTCCCGTGCTTAGCAGGGCTGACGTGGTTCCCGAACGCCAGCGCGGACGACGAGTGGCTGGACGAGGGGGGACCGTTGCGGCACGTAAATAGCTGCACCGAGTACCATGCCCTCCCCGCCATGCACACCCCCCTCCGCCTCCCCCCGGGGCTGACGTGGTTCCCGAACGCCAGTGCGGACGACACGTGGCTGGACGAGGGGACCGTTGCGGCGCTCGCTGCAGCTAACACCATGCCTCCCGCCTTTGTCTCCCCCACTACCCTTTCCCCTTCCCCAGGGCTGACGTGGTTCCCGAACGCCAGCGCGGACGACGAGTGGCTGGACGAGGTCGAAGCTGCCACGGCCTCACACGGCGCCTTGCCGCAGGCTCAGGTGTGTTGCTGGGGGTTATGTGGTGGATCCAGGGGTAGTTAGTTGGGTCCAGGGACCAGGGGTATAGAGGGAACGGGGGCATAAGCGCGAGAGGAGTCAGCGAGGCATATTAGGACGCCAGTGCGGACGACGAGTGGCTGGACGAGGTCGAAGCTGCCACGGCCTCACACGCCTTGCCCCAGGCTCAGGTGCGCTGCTGGTGGGTTTTGCCGTTCGTCCAGGCACTTCGAAAGTCGTGAGAGGGAGATGTATGGATTCGGTGCAGGAACGTTGTTTCGCTGGGATCCGCAGACTCATAGACTCACATACTAGGCCCACGCCTTCCCGGGAGCCAAGGACGTTGTCTCGTTGTTTCGCCTTGTTTGGTTGGCGAATTGTGGAAGCCATGGCAGAGCTGCCCCTCCGTCTGTTTGAAAACTCTCATCCCATCCTTCCCTGCCTTCCCCCCCCTTCCCCCCTCCTCCCCCCAACCCCCGCTTCGTTATCAGCAGGCTGCGAGCAGCAGCGCTGTATCCAGACACGTGCGAGAGGAGGTTGTAAAGATTGAGGAGGTCTCTACCGAAATCGTGACCGTTGAGGAGCTATCCACAGAGATCAACCAGCCGGTTAGGTCTGGGAGAAGACGGAGGTCAGGGGCGAGAGCAAGGGCAGAGACAGGCACAGGAGAAGAGGAGGAGAAGAAGGGGAGGAAAGGCAGGAAGGGCGGTAGCAGGTCGAAGAGAGAAGCTCAGCCGCCAGACGAGGCAACGAGCGCGGATCCTAGAGTGCTGCCTGAAAGGCCTGCTGCTGCTCCTGAAGCAAGGAACGTGGGGGCGCCACAGACTGCTGCTAGCCCTTCAGCTGGAGTGCGGGAAACAGCGTCTGCTGCTAGCCCTGGTGCCGCTACTGCTGGGCTCGCCGCTGGCTTGGCAGGAGGGGTTGCGGCAGCAGGTGGGGCTGTAGCAGCAGGGGTGGCAGGCTTGGTTGCATGGCGAGACTCCGAGCCACCAGCAGGAAGCAGCGGGGAGGTGATGGAAGAGGAAGGACGGCCAGAGCCGCAGCCAGTGGCGGAGGAGATGAGTGTTGACTCCAGAATACTAGAGTCAGCAGTACTAGCGTCAGCGGACGCAGCGAGCGACTTGGCTACAGATGGTACAGCCTCAGCCATGCAGACGGTGCAGGAGGGCAGAGAAGAAATAGGTGAAGCAGCAGAAGCAGCAGAAGCAGCAGAGGCAGCAGAGGCAGCAGAGGCAGCAGAGGCAGCAGAAGCAGCTGAAACAGCAGACGCAGGTGAACCAGGGCCAAGCGGAGCAGCAGTTGCTGCTGCAGGCGGCGTTGGTGCAGGGGCAGCAGTGGCGGCAGGAGCAGTGGTAGGAGGAGCCCTAGGCGCTGCTCTTTCCCGGGAAGACTCCAGAGACCAGTCCGGAGGGGGGTCGAAACGAGCCACCCCTGTGACCCCCCTGGGTGGTAGTTCGCCCGTATCTGCAGGGGAGGAGGGCGGCAGGAGAGGGGTGAAGGCGAAGAGGAACAAGGTCTCGAGTGAGGAGGTGTCAGGGGGGAGTGGGAGGGGAGCGAGCAGCGGGACTGGAAGCATGGGGCGCAGTAGTGGTGGCAGCAGTAGAGACACGGTCCCACAGCAGCAACTACAGCAGCAAAGGCAGCAGCAGCAGCCGTGGTCCAAGCAACCGCTATCAGGTCACGGCGCCAGTGGCATGCCTCCCATGCCTCCCATGGGTCCCATGCGCAGCAACAGCGAGCTGCCCCCCCTCCCCCACCGCAGCGGCAGCGGCATCCCCCAGCCCCTGCGCAGCAGCAGCGGCCTTGCCGCCCTCAACGCCTCCACCAGTAGCAACCTCCTGCAGCGCGCCGCCACGGGCAGCGGTGACCGTTGGATCTTCCACTCTGGCGCCGATCGGGACCAGCTGGTGGAATCCGACTCCAGTGACGATTCTGAGACGATGAGTGGGAGGCTGGAGGGCGGGCTAGGGGACTCGTGGGGGAGAGGGAGAGCAGGGGATGAAGCAGGGTCGTTCAAAGTGGGGAGCTTGGCGAGCCAGGGGTCTAGAGGGGGGAGCATGAGCCCAGTGTCCGAGATCGGGGAGCACGGGGCGGCGAACTTAGGAGGGAGAAAGAAGGGCGTGAATTGGCAGGGGACCCCTCCTCGGCCTGGGAGTGCGGGCGGGTCGAGAAAGTCGCGGCTAGGGAAGAGATCTCCCAGGGGGTCCTCGCTGGGCGCGGGTATGCTGGAGAGGGTTGCGGGAGGGATGGCGGACAGCAGAGGGAGTTTTGGGGCAGGTGCGGAGATCAGCAGAGGGAGCAAGAGCATGAGGGGGCTTCCGGTGGAGGGGTTGACTGGTGCAGGGCCTAGTGGGGCCTGGAGCTCGTCTGAGGGCGAGGGGAGCATGAGGGGGGGGGTGGGTACAGGAGCGGCAGGGGCGGCTCAGCCTGTGGTGGTGGGGTTTGTGGGGCCGGCGAGGCCCGGTACCCCTGTTTCGCTTACTAGGCTCGGGTCTGGGGCTCCTGTGCTTAGGCCTGCCACTTCTGGGGGGCTTTTGCTTGAAGATGTGGGGAAGTATGATGACTGGGTGGTGTATGAGAGCGAGGGGGAGGAGGAGGAGGTGCAGAGTAGGCAAGTGGGGGGGAGAGGGAGAGGGGTGGTGGAGAAGAGAGTAGTGCAGGAGGGGGGGGGGCGGTTGTGGATAAGAGGGAGGTGAGGGAGGGGGTACAGGCACGGGCTCAGGATGTGGCTTGGCAGAGGCAGCAGCAGGGGAGTGGGGCACCAGCACCGCCAGCAGCAGCAGCAGGTGCCGGAGTGGCAGCAGGAGTGGCAGCAGGAGTGGGTATAGGCGCAGCTGCGGGGGTGATAGCTGGGAACATCGGCCGGAGAAAGGAAGCAGAGAGGGACGTGCATAGAGCAGGGGGGGATGACTCAGACTCAGACTCGGAAATAAAGCGCGAGGCAGGATGGGGGGGTGTTTCCCAGCAGGGCAGTGGGTTTAGGTTCAGCAGCCAGGGGGAAACGCCTGTTGCTGGGAATCAGCCAGGGGGGCTTCAGGCAGGGGCAAGGCATGCGCCCCAGCCCCCAACGAGCCCCCGGCCGTCGTCGCCCCGGCCTCTCCCTTTTGCTTCCAAGTCCCGTTCCTCGGGGGCCCCTCATCCCAGCAGCAACTCCCCCCTCGGCCTGGTGGTCCTCCCAATGCCCCCTCCCAACACGCCCCTTCCCAGCATGCTCCTTCCCAGGCTCACCCGCTCTCATCAGGAGCAGCGAATAAGCCTCGCATTCCCCCCGTCCCCCCGGCTTATGGGTATGCCGGCTCTGCACAACCTCCTGCGTATGCTGCGCCTGCTGCTGCGTCGGCAGCTGTGCCGGGTACCGCTCCGCACCCCTTCGCACCCACTGCTTTTGCTGGGGGGCCCGGAGGTCCCACTACAGGGCAGGCAGTGGGGCAGCAGCAGGCGCAGCAGCAGTCGTGGGGGGGTTCTGTGGCTGGATTCTTTGCAGGGGCCAGCGCGTTTGTGTTTGGGGCGAAGCATGACGGGCATGCAGGAAAGGAGGCAGGGAGGGAGGCGGGGAGGGAGGCGCAGCAGGGGGGAGATGCGAGGCAGGCTGGGGAGGCTGGAATGGGGCTGAGGGATGGTGAGCAAGAGGGATCCGGGGCAGCAGGTGCAGGTGTAGCAGCTGTAGCGAGTGGTAGTGGGGGCAGTGGCAGTGGTAGTGCCACGCGTAGCGGCAGTGGCAGTGGTATGCGCCCTCCTCGCCCTCCGTCCCTTGCCATCCCAGGAGCAGCAGGCGCTGCCACTAGTCCTGGTGCTGGGCGCCACACCCCCCCCACACAGCCAGGGGCAAATACAGAGTCTGCAGAACCAGCAGCAGCGGTTGATAGACATGCAGCAGAGGGCGGGCATGAGGCTATCATGTCCCCCATTGCCTTCATTACAGTGTCGCCGCCTAAGGGCACAGGGAGCAGGGGCACAGACGCTGCATCAGTGCCAGGTAGAGCAGCAGCAGGGGCAGGAGGGCCAGCAGGAGGGTCAGCAGGAGGGCCAGCAGGAGGGCCAGCAGGAGGGTCAGCAGGGGGGTCACCTATGAGAGCAGTAGGAGGGGTGGCAGAGGCAGGGTCAATGATTTTGCAGGGTGTTTTTGAGAATTCTCAAAAACACCCTGCAATGGGTCAACAGCCCGCACAGGCCCGGCTTCGCTCCCCTCCTCCCTGCACGCCAGAGGAAGAGGCCATGGGTCGGGTCTCTGGTAGTGCTGCTGCTGTGCCGGTAGGGGTAGGGGCAACTGAAGCGGGTAGCGGGCAGGGTTACCGGCCAGGGTCGGGATTCGGCACTGGGTGGAGTAAAGGGTCTGGTGTTAAAGCAGGTGGGGCTGGTGCCGGGTGGGGAGAGGAGAGTGAGGAGGAGAGTGAAGAGGAGGAGACAGAGGAGTCTGAAGAGTATGAGCATGAGGAGGAGGAGGATGAGGAGGATGAGGAGGATGAGGAGGAGGAGGAGGAGGAGGAGGAGGAGGAGGAGGAGGAGGAGGAGGAGGAGGTGGAAGAGACAGAAGAGGAGGATATGGAGTATAGCAGTGAGGAGGAAAGTGAGGAGGCAAGAGAGGAGGCAAGTGAGGAGGCAAGTGAGGAGGCAAGTGAGGAGGAAGAGGAAGATGAGGAGGAGGAAGACGAAGAGGAGGAAGAGGAGGAGGAGGGTGCAGAGGCGTGGGTGGGCAGGCCGCTACTTGCACATTCACAGGCCAACACACCCACGGCATACGGGGGCATGAAGACACCAGATGCCATAGGGGGGATCGTGTTTATCAACGAGTATGGCGCTGCCCCGCCCTCCCCTGCTATGGACACCAACTCGGTGGGTGGGGCAGGGGGGATGGGTGGGGCGACCACGCCTCTCAGCGGAACAGGGGAAGATGGGCGCGTGTTTGTGGTCTTCAATAAGTCTCGGTTCTCACCCACTGCTGCTGGTGCTGGTGCTGCTGGTGCTGGTGTTGGTACTGATGGGGATTTGAGCGGGGAGGGGCAGATCATGCGTGGTGGCCTTTCTGCAGGCACTAGTGGTTCTGGTCCCCTAGTGGTTCGGATTGAGAGGGGGGAGGGAGAGGAGGAGAGTGAGGAAGAAGAAGGGGAGGGTGGAAGTGAGGGGTGGGATGGAGGGGAGAGTGGGGAGGAGGAGAGTGAGGATCAGAGCGGGACAGAGGGAGAGAGTGAGATGGAGGGGAGTGAGGAAGGGAGTGGGTTTGAAGGGAGTGGTGAGGAGGAGAGTGAGGGGGAGAGCGAGGGGAGTGAAGGGGAGGAGAGTGGGACTCTGGGGAGTGAGGTGAGGGAAGGTAGGCAGGAGGGTGAAGATGGGGATGTGAGTGCGGTGGAGAGCGGTGCTTCTGGGGGAAGTGAAGAAAGCAGTGGGGAGGATAGTGAGGAGGAAAGTGAGGAGGAGACTTTGGAGGACAGTGAGGAAAGTGAGGAGGCGAGTGAGGAGGGGAGTGAGGAGGGGAGTGAGGAGGGGAGTGAGTCAAGCTTGAGCCCTGTGGGGAGTTCAGACGAGGGGGAGACTGAGTACGTGGGGAGTGAGACAGAGGAGAGTGAGGAGGAGAGTGGGAGTGAGGAGGGGAGTGACGAGAGTGGGAGTGAGGAGGAGAGTGAAGAGAGTGGGAGTGAGAGCGAAGGGACTGAGAGTGGGAGTGAGAGTGATGGAAGTGAGAGCCAAGAGAGTGATGAGACAGGGTCAAGTGAGGAAGACGGCACAACTTTGGACGGCACAATGGACGGCACGCTGGACGGCACGCTGGACGGCACCCTGGACGGCACGATGGACGGCACTGTGGGCGGCACAATAGACGACAGGACGCTGGATGGAACAGTGGATGTGACTTTGGGAGGCAGTGACACTATGGAGAGGACTTTTACCATTGAGGAGACTGAGACGGCAGTCAGTGGAACACTGGGAAGGAGCGGGACTATAGAGGGGAGTTACACTATGGAGGGGACAGAAGCCATGGGGAGAACTAACACGTTCGAGAGTGTAGGCCGGACTGAGACGTTTGAGGGCAGTGGGACGATGGAGAGAAGTGATACTATGGAGGGGAGTGATACTATGGAGAGGAGTGGCACTGTAGACGGAACTGAGGCTATGGGGAGGACCAACACTTTCGAGACCTTGGGGGTGACTGAAACTTTGGAAGGCAGTGATAATACTATGGAAAGTAGTGATACTATGGAGGGGAGTGGCACTATGGAGGGGAGTGACACTATCGAGGGGAGTGGCACTGCAGATGGTGCAGGAGCAGCAGATAGAACCCTCACCCTGGAGGGAACTGAAATCTTGAGCGGCAGTGAGAGGGGCAGGAGGCAGAGGAGTGCCACTGAAAGCGGTAGCAGCTCTTATCACGAGAGCAGCTTTTCAGAGGGGAGTGAGGCGAGTGAGGAGAGGGATAGTAGTGATGGGACCGAGAGTGTGGAAGCTAGTGGTACTTTAGAGGATAGTGCTACTATGGAGGATAGTGACAGTATGGAGGGGAGTGAGGCTGTGAGCAGGAGTGCCGCTAGCAGGAGCAGAGGAGGCTATAGTGACGATGTGGTGCTTATAGAGGTGGCTACTGTAGCGGGGTCTAGAACCAGTGGGACTGTGTCAAGTATGCGAGGGGTGAGTGAGACGGGTAGTGACTTGGGGAGGAGTGAGATGGGGAGGAGTGAGAGAGTGGGGAGTGGAAGGGAAGGTAGTGACACGGAGGCATCAGAAACAGAGGAAAGTGAGACAGGCAGGAGTGGGAGCGAGGGGAGCAGCAGTGAGCGGAGCGAGGAGAGTGAGAGCGAGGGGAGTGAGGGGAGTGGGAGTGATGCGAGTGGGGGTGATGAGCGTGCAAGTCACAGCTCAGAGGCGTCGGAGTATCACTCCCACTCACAGAGCAGTGCGGGGTCCGATTCTGAAAGCGGCTCGGAGAAAGGAAGCTTCCGCTCTGGTTCCCACGCAAGCAGCTCACACACAACACTGACTCATGATTCTGCCTCGAAGATTTCAGGTTCTGGAGATGGCAGGTCGGAGAGCGAAGGAAGCCCGCCAGAGAATGAGTCCGGCGAATCAGATTCTGAGCAGCTGTCCAGGTCAGATTCTCACCCTTCCAGGTCAGCGTCACACCGTTCCAGGTCAGCATCGGATGCATCTGAAGGGGGAGGAGCGAGCAAGAGCAGGTCTGCGTCAAGCCTTAGCCACTCTGCTGCTAGTAGCAAGTCCCCTGGCACAGAGTCATCTGCTGGTAAATCCTCTGGTAGGGGGTCGTCTGCAGGGTCGGCTGCCAGCAAGTCTCCCGGCACACAGTCGAGAAGTCAAAGTGGGTCTGAGGGGAGCGGGTCTCATGGTGGCCGGTCGCGTGGTACTGAGTCGCAGCGCAGCAAGTCAGAGGCGAGTAGGTCGCCGGATGGTGGGCTGGATGCAGGTGGAGAGAGTGAGGGGAGAGGGGGGGGGGGTAGTGCGGAGGGCAGTGAGAGTGAGACGGGGAGTGATGGCCTGACGGACGGGATGACTGAAGGGACAAGTGTGACGTCCAGTGATGAGGCGAGTGAGAAGGAGAGCGAAGAAGGGAGTGAGGAAGGGAGTGAGGGAGGGAGTGAGGGAGGGAGTGAGGGAGAGAGTGAGGGAGGGAGTGAGGAAGGGAGTGAGGAAGGGAGTGAGGGAGGGAGTGAGGTGACAGCAGAGACATCAGAGGATGGTAGTGAAGGATCTGGGGAGGGAGAGAGGGAGGGATCCAGTGACATGCACAGTGAGGGGTCCACCCGTGCTGACAGTGTGAGCGACGGAAGCGAGGGGAGTGAGGGGAGTGGGTCTGTGGTGTCAGGGTCAACCAACAAGCCCACAGAGTCAAGGGCGGATTCAGAAGCAAGGTTTGACTCGGACGGAGAGTCGGAACAGCCCTCTGAGCTAGAGGAAAGTGTCGCTACTAGCACTGCTGTTAGTGCTGCCGGCGGCAGTGCTGCTGCCAGTGCTGTTGCCAGTGCTGCTGCTAGCACCAGCCCCACGGGTGCTTCTGAATCCAGCCGGCAGCTCGGGACGCCGACAGGTGGCGCCGCATCATTGGCGGGTGTGATGGGGTCGCCAGTGGGGGAGGGGTGGAAGAGGCCTCTCACTGTTAAGGTGGGAGGAAGCTCCCAGGAGGCTAGTTCTGAAGAGGAGGAGGAGGAGGAAGAGGAGGAGGAGGAGGAAGAGGAGGAGGAAGAGGAAGAGGAAGAGAGTGTGGATGCCACTGGAAGTGAGGAAGAGGAGGAAAGCTATGTTGGGGATGATGATGATGAGGAGGAGGATGAGGAGGAGGAGGAGGAGGAGGAGGAGGAGGAGGAGCAGGAAGAGAGTGTGTTTACAGACGACCGGAGCTCAGAGGGGAGCAGTGTTTCAGAGGGGGAAGGGAGATCGGAACAAGAAAGGAGTTCAGGGGGAGAGGAGGGAGCGGATGAGGAAGAGGAGGGGAGCAGGAGCAGTGATGATGAGGCGTCAGTTGGAGGAGCAACGAGTTTGGGCAGTGAGGAGGCGTCAGGTGGAGGAGCAACGAGTTTGGGCCGTGAGGAGGGGGAGCTAGAAGGGGTGAGTTCAGGAGATGAAGGGGCGGTAATGGGGCGGAGCTCGGGGAGTGAGGAGGAGGAGAGGGCAGTGCGGATGCTGCGAGCTGAGAGCAAGAGGCGGTTTGACGCTGTGTTGGGGCAGCTGAAGGTGCTGCTGAAGAGGGATCCCCAGGGGAGTGAGGAATTCGAGGAGGGAAGTGAGCATTCTGAGGGGAGTGAGCACTCGGAGGGGAGTAAGGGTGATGGAGTGAGTGCCGAAGGTGGGAGGAGGGAGGAGGATGATTACAGGTCTGCTAGTGAGAGTGAGGGAGAGGCGCAAGAGGAGGATGAGTATAGGTCTGAGAGTGAGGTTGGGAGTGAGGGAGGGAGTGAGGGAGGGAGACAGGAGGAGGAGGAGGAGGAGGAGGAGGAGGAGGAGGAGGAGGAGGAGGAGGAGGAGGAGGAGGAGGAGGAGGAGGAGGAGTGGGTGGAGGAGGTTGCGAGGGTGTCAGAACGAAGTGGGTCGGAGGAGGAGGCGTGGATGGAAGAGGAGGAGGAGCAGTCAGAAAGGGAGGAGGAGAATGGCTCGAAAGGTAGGGTGGCGGAGCATGATTCTGAAGCAGAGGAGGAGTATGATTCTGAAGCAGAGGCGGAGGGTGGCAGTTGGGACGGACAGGAAGGCCAGAAGCTTTCTCAAGATGGCACTGGTGCTAGTGATGGTGCTAGTGGTGGTGATGGTGGTGGTGATGGCTTAGCTGCCATTGCTGCTGCTGCAGCTGCTGCTGCTTCATTTCCGGAGGGTATCACAGCTGATGCCGCTGCACACAGCCACAGCATGCACAGGCCACAAGGAAGCGAGGGGAGAGCTGCAGAGGTGCATCCTCCTGCCGTTCTCCAAGCAACACCTGCCCCACCCGCCCCACTAGCCCCACCCGGCCCACCCACATCCCCAGCACCCCAAGCATCCCCAGTGGGCCCCACTCAACGGATCCACCTCCCGCAGCCGCCCACCACGCCCTCCCTGCAGCCCTCCCCCCCGTCCCTCGCGTTCCGTCGCTCCTTCAAGCGCCCCATGCCTCTGCGCCCCTCCTCCGCTTCCTCCCGCCCCGCCAACCCCTTCGCTCAAGGGCCGGGCTCGGCCACTTCGACACCGCAGAGCATGGGGGGGTCGTCCGGAGGGTCCACTCCCCGCAGCGTTCCTGCCCCTGATCTCCCGACCGGCCTGGAGCCGCCTCAAAGAGCATCTGGCCTTGCTCCAAGTGCCCCGGGTGATGATGGCTTGGCCACTGGTGCTTCCAGCCGTGCTGCTGCTGCTCCGCCCCGTGGTGGTGGTGGTGGTGCTGCTGCTACCGGTGCTGCTTATGAATTGGCTGGCCTTGGCTCTGCAGGTGAGTCTCCCGTCGCCCTCCCCTCTTCCCCTGCTTCTGCTTCTGCTTCTTCTGCTTTTGGAACTTCTGTTTCTGGTTCTCCTGTGGTTGCTGCTGCACGTGTCTCTCCTGCTGCTCCTGCTGCTGCCCCCGTTGCTGTCCCTCCTGCTGCCTCTGCATCTGTTACCTCTTCTGCAGGTCCCAGCACGGGAACTGCAACAACCGCAGCAGCTGCACCAGCTTCAGCACCTGCTATTGCCAGGTTATCCAAGGCAGGGGTTGCCTTGACCGCCTCTCCTGCCTTATCCCCAGCTGTCTCGCCTGCTGCCTCTCCGGCTGTGTCGCCCAAGCCTGCTGCCGGCTCCTCGCCCTCTCGCGGTGTCTCAGGCTGGACCTCCCTCTTCCGCCCACTCTGGGGCCAGCAGCGTCTCCAGCAGCTTCTCCTGCTGCCGCTGGTGGTGCTGCTGGTGCTGCTGGTGCTGCTGCTTCTGGTGGTGCTGCTGTTGGTACTTCTGCTGCTGGGACTGTTGCTCCAGCGGTTGCAGCTAATGCAACGGAAGGTGGTGGTGTCTACACGCCCAGTGCTGCTCCCTCTGTCACTAGTGCGACTGATCCTGCTGCTGCCCCCATTGCCGCTGTCGCCTCGGGTCCTACTGCCTATCCTGTTGCAGCTGTTCCCGCACCAGCAGTTGTTTCGTCCTCATCAGCAATACCTGCAGTAGCATCGCCACCAGTTGCACCTGCACCAGTAGCACCTCCACCATTTGCACCTGCACCAGTTGCACCTGCACCAGTTGCACCTGCACCAGCTGCACCTGCACCAGTTGCACCATCCGCAGTTGCACCTGCTCCTGCACCACAAGCAGCACCTGCGCCGGCAGTAGCAGCTGCAGCCGCAGTTGGAAGAAAGACCGCCCCCCTGTCTCCTCCTCACCTCATCTCCCCACACCTCATCATCACCCGTCCCCCCCTCACTACCCCCCTCCTCCTTCCAGGCCCGACTCCCCTCTTCCCTTGTCCGTCCCCCCGAGCCTGTTCCCGCAGCCATCCATCCCATGGACCCGCGTGCGCATCCATTTGTCCTCTCTCCTCCTCATACTACGCCCTCTCACACCCGCCCCTACTCTGCAGTATCCTCCTCTCCCACGGTCCTGCATCCCCTGGACCTGCGCGCACATCCAGGTCCAGCCTCCCTCACCTCCCAATCCTCCACAGTACCTCCCGCTCCCACAGTCCTTCACTCGCTGGATCCATGCGCTTCCCCCACCCCTCACACAGCAGACTCTCTGTCACCCAAAGCTGCCTCCCCGTTGTCAGGCGCTGCTCCTGCTTCTCCGCTCGCTTTCCTCTCGTCCATATTTGGCGGCGGCGCTGCTGCTGCTGCTGCTGCAGGGGTGGGTCCAGCAGCAGAAGAGATGCTGGATGCAAGGGTAGTGGGAGAGAGTGCGGCTGGGAAGGAAGGGGATGCAGCTGCTAAGAGGCAAGTGATGGACCAAGAAGCAGAGGGGACAGGGAACCATGGCGAGATTGGTCCCCCTGGAGGTGTGCTGGTGCATGGCTTGTCGGCCGATTCTGATACCATGTCGACTGGATCAAGGCATGATGCTGATTCTGCTGCTGACGTCGGTGCTTATCCCAAGGGCAAGTACGCTGCTGCCTTGGTCCCTCCGGCCTTAGAGCCAGGTGTTGCAGGCAGCTCCCAGGGTTCCTCCAGCCGCCCAGAGTCAAGGGAGTCAACGGAGTCAACGCGGTCGAATGATTCACCTGAGAAAGCACAGTCAGTGACGGGTGACGCACCTGTGGGGGGGGGCGAAGCAGCAGCTACTGAGGCGTGGGTGCGTGCGGGCAGTGGAGAGGGAGGGAGGTTGAAAGGAGGCTTGGGAGGAGGTTTGGAGAGAGGCTTGGAAGGAGGTGTGGAAGAAGGTGTTGTAGAGTGGCCAGTGGTATTGCCACGTGGTGGCATGGATGGGGGAATAGAGAGGGGCATTGGAAAACAGGTGGATGGAACAGGTCACATTGGAGCAGTGGAAGTGGTGGCTGCTGGTGACTCAACAGAGCGGTCTCTTATAAGGGGGTCAGTGAATATGGGCCCTGCAGTTGTGGTCGGTAGCATAGAGCGGGTTTTAGTCGCTGGGAGCGATACAGATAAGCAGGTTGGAAGCAGCGAGGGTGAGAGTAAGGGGAAGGGCGAGGAGAGTGGGGAGGATATGGAGGCTGAGGGAGAGAGTGAGAGTGGTAGTGGGGTTGGGGTAGAGGAGAGGGAGGAGGAGGATGAGGAGGAGGGTGAAAGTGTTGTGGCGGATAGTTCTTATAACGGGAGCACACTTGAGGGAGGGGGGAGTGGGGGAGAGAGTGAGGGTAGTGAGAGGGATGCAGAGGGGAGCGAAGAGGAGAGTGAGAGTGGTATTGGAGAGGAGAGTGGGAGCAGTGTGGGGGATAGTGAGGATGAGAGCGAGGGGGAGAGTGAGGAAGGGAGTGAGGAAGGGAGTGAGGATGGGAGTGGGGGGAGCACCACGGGAGAAAGCGAGGGCAGCAGCAGCGAGACAGGGAGCAGCAAGGGAGAGAGTGAGGGAGATAGTGAAGGGAGTGAAGATGAGAGTGAGGGGGAGAGTGAGGAGAGTGAGCGGGAGAGTGAGGGTAGTGTCACTGAGACGGACGGAGTGACCCAAACGAGTTACTCAGAGGAGAGTGAAGGGGAGAGCGAGGGGGAGAGTGAGGGGGAGAGTGAGGGGGAGAGTGAGGGGGAGAGTGAGGGGGAGAGTGAGGGGGAGAGTGAGGGGGAGAGTGAGAAGGATAGTGAAGGAGGGGAGACAGAGACAGAAACCGAGGCACAGACAGAGACGGAGGGGCAGAGTGAGATGGTGGGAGGGGAGGCGGACAGAGAGAGCATGGTGACAGATGAGGGGGTGCTTATAGAGGTGGCGAGTGTGGCGAGTGTGGTGGGGAGGAGTGAGGGGAGGAGTGTGGGGAGGAGTGTGGGAATGAGGACTGACAGCCTGCTGATTGAGGTGGAGAGTGTGGTGGGTGGGGAGAGTGTGGTTGGAGGGGAGAGTGTGGTGGGGGGAGGGAGTGTGGTGGGGGGAGGGAGTGTGTACGAAGGGGAGGGTGCAATTTTAGAAGAGGGAGAAGAGGCAGAGAGAGCAGCTGAAGAGGTCGAAGGGAGTGAGGTTAGTGAGAAGAGTGAGGGGGGTGAGGGGAGTGAGGGGAGTGAGGGGAGTGAGGGGGGTGAGGGGAGTGAGGGGAGTGAGGGGAGTGAGGGGGGTGAGGGGAGTGTGTGGAGCGAGCATATCAGTGGCGGGGAGGGATCGGATGATGACAGAGAGAGTATCAAAAGCGAAAGTGAGAGAATGGATGTTGCGAGTGAGAGGGACGACAGTCACAAGGAGAGTAGTGAGCGTATGGAGGCTGAGGGTGACGGTGAGTTGGGTGATAGTTTTGACGAGGGTGAGAGTGAACACGAGAGGGGAGTGATTGTTGGTGGGCATGTAGAGGCAGTGCCAGAGAGTGCACGTGGGGCTGATGCTCTGGCAGCAGCAACAGCGGCAGGGACAACAGCAGCAACAGTAGCAGGAGCAGCAGCGACAGTGGCAGAAGCAGAAGTGCTTGTGTCAGTGGCACCTGAAGAAGACACACCCGGCGCGAAGTCTGGCGAACCAGCTGAGTCTGCGGTGACACCAGCAGCAGCAGCGCCAGCAGGAGTAGCAGCAGCGCCAGCAGCAGCAGCAGCACCATCAACGGCAGCAGTAGCAGCAGCACCACCACCAGCAACGGCAGCAGTAGCAGCAGCGCCAGCAGCAGCAGCACCACCAGCAACGGCAGCAGTAGCAGCAGCGCCAGTAGCAGCAGCACCACCACCAGCAACGGCAGCAGTAGCAGCATCAGCTGTACCACCAGCAACGGCAGCAGTAGCAGCATCAGCTGTACCACCAGCAACGGCAGCAGTAGCAGCATCAGCTGTACCACCAGCAACGGCAGCAGTAGCAGCATCAGCTGTACCACCAGCAACGGCAGCAGTAGCAGCATCAGCTGTACCTGCTACAACAGCTGAAGCTCGCATGGTCGGGGCTGCTGATACCTCAAAGTCAGCTGACGTGGCAATGGCTGCTGCAGTTCCGAAGGCTGCAGACGTGGCAAGACCTGCTGACGTGGCCAAAGCTGCTGCTGTGGCAAGGGCTGCTGACATGTCACTAGCAGCGCTGATGGCTCGGACGCCTGATGCCCGACCGGTGACGCCGGTGCAGCGCAGGACATGGCTGGACGTGCTGCAGAGCCACGCGGTGCTGTCAGAACTGGTGAGTTGATGCTCCTGTCTGTAGTGTGACAGGCACTAGTTGTGCTGATGCCACGGACGCCCGATGCGCGGCCGGTGACGCTGGTGCAGCGCAGGACATGGCTGGACGTGCTGCAGAGCCACGCGGTGCTGTCAGAACTGGTGAGTGAGTGGATGGATGGACCCCCCTGCTTAGTTGCTACAAACGCTCTGGCAGGCGCGCGTTTAGCATTTGAACGCTAGCGTTCGAATGCAAACGTTAAACGGACCCAAAAACGCAATCGCTCGCTGGGAACCTTTCCAGGGTGCCCCTCCGAAAAAAAGGCGAAAAATGTCACCGCGAAATCAAGACTTGGCTAATTCAACGCGACATTCGCCAAGTCCCAGCTCCAAACCAAGTCGTCAAAATTCACCTCCCAACAACCCCCCCCCTTTCAACCGCACTCCACACATCGTCAACTAGAACATCCAACCTCTCCTCCTCACATCTCATAGATCCACGCAAGCTCGCAATCCCCTCCCCCGTCAAAACCGCTTACCCAAACTGCCGTGCGCCATAACCGTAGCCACTTTTCCACCTTTGCTGCCATACCTGAGCCACGAAATAACATTCAGTTAAGGGCGAGGGCCCATGTCGACCCCTCTTAGCAATGCGGACGCCGCTACGGCGTCCGCATCTTCTAATGTAGACGAGGCGGATAGGAATCACGAGGTTTATAAGTACTTCCGCGTTCTAGACAAGGAGGCCGGCGCCACACAGAAACATGAGTGTCGCTTTTGTGGGCTTTTGTGGGCTTTTGTGGGATATGTGATGTACATGACATATATATGAAGATGCATACTTAAAATTCTCAACACCTTTTTTTGGAGCCAAATTGCGTGCTGACAGAACCCCCATGTTTCCTTCCCCCCTTCCCTGCAGGAAAAAATTTCCCCTGCCCGGGCAAAGTTTTTACCCCTGCCCGGGCAAGCGTTTGCCTAGTGTTCACAGACACGCTGCTGAGTGCTGAGCGTTTAGCGTTCAAATGCCAGGGTTTAAAACGCTGGCGTTCAAACGCTAAACGCGTTTGTAGCAACTAAGCCCCCCTGTAGCATAGTGTAACAGGTGCTGGCTGCACTGATGGCAAGGACACTCATTCCATGCCAGGTTGGTGGCTCCAGTGCAGCACAGGACATAATGGAGGCGCTGCAGGGCTGGTGACTTCTGCCATGAGGTATGGAGACTGGAAGTACAGTGCAGTGCAGGGAATGGTCTTCTTCAATGTTACGTGCAAAGTCGTGCCTTGTTCCCGTTCCTTGTGCCCATTACCCTCTCTGTTCCTCTCCAGATGACCGATGAGGACATGGGTGCTCTCCAGTTCCTATGCTCCGTTGACTTCTTCAAGTCGCAACACAGCATGGTATGGGGCATGGCACTACGATATGAGGCAAAGGGCACCGTGGTGCATGCCATGGCATGCCATTGGTCTGGCACGTCAGCATGGTGTATGGCATGGCATAGCATGGGGGGGGTTCATGGACCATGGTCACATCTCCCTTTTCTGTTATGCTGCTCCTTTGTATTGGCTTTCTTAGTTGGTGGTGCTTGGTTCTTGTTGTTGTCGTTTTTTTTTTTTTTTTTTTTTTTTTTTTTTTTTTTTTTTTTTTCTTCTCTTTAATTCTTTTATTTATTCCGTCCCTGTGTTTACCTGCCTTGCCCTGTCACCCTTGTTCCTCCTGCCTTCAGGACTTCCGGGTGGACTTTCTATTTGATGCAAATCCATTCTTCACCAACGCATATGTATGCATCCCTCCCTTTCATTTGGTGCTAGCACTAATGCTAGTCTTGGCTATGCCGGCCTTCGGCGTTTTTTTTTTTTTTTTTCCCCCCCCCCCCCCCCCCTCTGACTCTCAAGTCTTCCTTTTCTTTTTTGCTCATTCGAATTGACTTGACACTGAGGCCGTCTTTTTCCAAATGTTGACGCTTTCCTTCTGCCTCCCCTTGCGGCTTCCACTCTTTTCCCCTATTGCGGCGCGCAGCTGAGTCGCGTCTTCGCTGTGGCGAGAAACCCTAAGGCTGATCCGATCATCATGGCCATCCATTGGTATGCCCATAAAATCGCTGCTCACCCCGTTGTGCTTCACCTGACTTTTTTGTCGACTCCAAAACCCCGACCCTCCCCATCGCCCCGTCGACCTCCTTGCCTCTCTGGCTTTTGAGTCGACTCAAAGGTCAGCGAGAAACCCTAAGGCTGATCCGATCATCATGGCCATCCATTGGTATGCCCATAAAATCGCTGCTCACCCCGTTGTGCTTCACCTGACTTTTTTGTCGACTCCAAAACCCCGACCCTCCCCATCGCCCCGTCGACCTCCTTGCCTCTCTGGCTTTTGAGTCGACTCAAAGGTCAGCGAGAAACCCTAAGGCTGATCGGATCATCATGGCCATCCATTGGTATGCCCATAAAATCGCTGCTCACCCCGTTGTGCTTCACCTGAATTTTTTGTCGACTCCAAAACCCCGACCCTCCCCATCGCCCCGTCGTCCTCCTTGCCTCTCTGGCTTTTGAGTCGACTCAAAAGTCAGCGAGAAACCTTAAGGCTGATCCTATAATCATGTCCATCCATTGGTATGCCCATAAATTTGCTGCTCACTGGCCTTGTACTTCACCGTTTTTCTTTCAAGCCTTTTCCCCGCTGCTGGAATATGCCTATTTTACTGCTTCCACGCGCACCGATTTCTCATATTCTTGCCACATTCTATGTCCATGTCACATTTAGCACCCCCATTGCCTGGCAGCCCGGCAGGGACCTCACTAGGCAGTGCAGAGGGTGGGTTGGCTGGGCGGCTGCTACTCTGACTCACAGAGGGAGGGGTGCAGACTCACATCTCTATGCCTCCTGCCTGCCTCCCCCTCTCCCTCGCAGCACTCCCATCGCCTGGCAGCCCGGCAGAGACCTCACCAAGCGCCGCAAGGGGTGGTTTGGCTGGGCGGCTTCCAGCGTTGACAAGCGCAGCTTCTTTACTCTGTTTGCCTCGCGATCTGAGCTCTCTGCTTCAGAAGCCAATGAGGAAGCAGTGGTGAGTGGTGCTAGTAATTAGAATACGATTTTTGAGTCGACTCAAAAATTAGAATACGCCTGCTTCTGCTGCTAACAGGGGTAAGGGCTGCTGGTGCTGCTGTCAGGAGCAACCTTTTCACTCTCTTTTCATCTCGACCTCACCAACGGCATGCTAGACCCTTACCCTGGGCCTTTCCCTTTACCCCATACCTTTACCGCCCCCACCTTTTCCTCCCTTCCCCTCCTCTCTCCCCTCCCTCCCCCCTCTCCCCCCTTCCCCCTCCCAAAATGTGCATCTGTCAGCGCATGACGATGCTAGAAGAGGCTGCTCTCACCAGTGGATTGCTAGCGTCTTACCCTGTGCCTTTCCCATTACCGTATGCCCGTGCCATGCCTTTTCCCCCCATGTGTCACCCACCAGCGCATGAAGATGCTGGAAGAGGCTGCTCTCACCAACGGACTGCTGCAGTGAGTTGCCGCCCACCCATAAACCTTTTCGGCGTGCATCCTTTTTCATCCAAAATAAAAGTTTGCAGCAGGAAGTAAGAAGGAGAAGAGGTTGTGCAATTCTATTATTTTCATAAATCTCTGAATATTCATTTCATGCTTTTGTGATTATACTACTTACCTGTGCGTGTGCTGAAGTCTGTCAGATGGTCACGTGGTCTCTAGCTGCCTGTGATGCGATGCTATGCAACCCCGTTGGTCCTCCTCAGATGCATTTTCGCTCTTACATTTCCAACCTCCTTTTTCAATGCAGGTCGTCAGATGGCCACGTGGTGTCTAGCCTGCTAAGATGGTACACTGTGAAGTCGCTGGGGGGGGAAGTGGAGGAGGAGGAGGAGCGGGAGGAGAATGAGGAGGAGGAGGAGGAGGAGGAGGAGGAAGAAGGGGGGGAAGTAGAGGAAGAAGCAGAGGAAGACAAGGAAGAGGTGGAGCAGGAGAAAGAAGAATTGGGGAGCACTGGAGGTAGAGGGAGCGGTGAAAAACATGAACCTTCTATGATGCCGTTCAGGAGTATGAGTGGTGAGGAGAGAGAGAAGGGAGGTGCGGAAGGGAAGGAGGGAGGTGAGGAGAGGGAGGGGGAGGTGAGAAGAGGGAGGGGGGAGGTGAGAAGAGGGAGAGGGGAGGTGAGAAGAGGGAGGGGGAGGTGAGGAGAGGGAGGAAGGAAGTGAGGAGGAGAAGGAGCGAGATGAGGAGAGTGAGATAGAGAGTGTGGCTGTGCAGGAACACGGGAAAGAAGATGTGAGGTTGATGGTGCGGCGAGGAGGGAGGGAAGTGAGGGAAGGAGAGGAGGAGGTGGCGCAAGGAGGAGTCGAAGCGAGTCAAAGAGAGGAGGACGCGAGGGAAGGCGCAGGAGGCACAAGCACAGAGGCGGAAGCAGACCGTGTGGAGTTGGAAGAGGCAGCTGCGGCTGCTGAGGCTGGACAGACGGTCTGGAGGGAGGAGGAAGAGGAGGCAAAGGAGGATGCAGATGAGGAAGAGGAGGAGGCAAAGGAGGATGAGGAAGAGGAGGAGGAGGCGGAGGAGGAGGCGGAGCTTGGAATGCTTGTAGAGCGAGTGGTGGAGGGGGAAGAGGAGGAGGCAGAGGAGGAAGAGGAGGAGGCGGAGGAGGCGGAGCTTGGAATGCTTGTAGAGCGAGTGGTGGAGGGGGAAGAGGAGGACGCAGAGGAGGAAGAGGAGGAGGCGGAGGAGGAGGCGGAACTTGGAATGCTTGTAGAGCGAGTGGTGGAGGGGGAAGAGGAGGAGGCAGAGGAGGAAGAGGAGGAGGCGGAGGAGGAGGCGGAGCTTGGAATGCTTGTAGAGCGAGTGGTGGAGGGGGAAGAGGAGGACGCAGAGGAGGAAGAGGAGGAGGCGGAGGAGGAGGCGGAACTTGGAATGCTTGTAGAGCGAGTGGTGGAGGGGGAAGAGGAGGAGGCAGAGGAGGAAGAGGAGGAGGCGGAGGAGGAGGCGGAGCTTGGAATGCTTGTAGAGCGAGTGGTGGACGTGAGTGCGGGCGTGGAGAGGGCAGAGTGGCACACGGAGAACGCCCCGGGAGGAGTAGAGGAAGCAGAGGCAGAGGCAGCTGTGTGTATGATGCCTGTGCCTGTGGTGGCCATGGCAGCAGGAATGGGTATCGAGGGGGGAGAGACGAGAGAGGGAGGGGGCAGAGTGAGACGGAGGGAGTGACGTTGAAAGGGAAGTGTGGGCAAGTGAGAGGACTGCAACCATCGAAATGGAGGGCGAGCGAATGACGGCTGAAGATGAGAGATTGTTGGCTGGTATCGAGCGTGAGGGGAGTGGCGATGTGTACAAGGGGAGTGGCAGTGGGGTGAGCAGTGACGATTTGAGTTTTGAGGCGCGTCAGTACAAGGGGAGTGGTAGCAATGTTAGGGGGGGGGACGATCTGCGAAGCTCCACTAGTAGCGTTGGGGACATGCCAGGCATGCTGACGGGATCAGGCGTGGGAGGGGGAAGAGGAGAGGCAGGTGGAGGGGGAAGAGGAGAGGTGGGTAGAGGGGGAAGAGAGGAGATAGAAATGCAAGTCAAGGGGGGTCAGGAGCAGGCACGAGGGGAGGGAGAACGGGAGGTGGGGAGGTACGGCCAGCATCTGTTGGACAGTGAAGAGGAGGGGGAGGGAGGAGGGCGGTCATGGGTGGGGGTCGGTAGTGTGGCCAAGAGGGGTGGGAAAGAGGGCTGTGCCAGGCGATCATCGAGAGATGAGGGGAGTGAGGGAGGGAGTGAGGGGGTGAGTGAGGGAGTGAGCGAGGTAGGGAGTGAGGTATGGAGTGAGGGGGGGAGTGTGGGGGGCAGCAGTGGGCAGGGGAGTTCAGTGGAGGGCGAGCTAGCGGACCTGATGCATGCAGTGGACGGCAAGCCATACCCCTTCTGGCATGCTGTGGCCGCTACAGGCAGGGCGGGCCTAGAGGGCCTAGAAGGTCGAGAGGGTCGAGAGGACCTAGAGGGCCTAGAGGCGCCTCAGAAGGATGCTACAGGTTGGCCGGGGGGTCAGAGCTTGGCTCAAGTGCGGACTCAGCCTGCTACAGACGGCGGTATGCAGATGGAGGGCGCTACAAGTGGGGGCTATGTGGCACATGCGATGGATGGTATGCCATTCAATGCCGCCGCCGCCGCAGGGGCTGCCGTGCGTGCTGAGAGTCTTCCCCATGCTGGCGTTGCTTCTGTCTCAGCTGCCGCTGCTGGTTCTCGTGCAGCAACGCCAATGCCTGGTGTGCATGTCACTGCTTCTTCTTCTTCTTCTGCTCCTGCTGCTGCTGCTGCTGCTGCATTCTCGCGAGCAGGAACACCCATGCCAGGAGTGCATGCTGCTGGTTTACCTCCTCCTGCTCCTGCTCCTCCTGCCGCTCACCCTGCAATGCTTTCCCGCTCCACAACTCCCATGCCTGGACTGCATGCTGCTGCTGCATCTCCTCCTCGTCCTCCTCTTCCTCCTGCTGCTGCTTCTCATGCTGCAGTGCCTGCATCATTTTCCCGTGCATCAACGCCCATGCCGGGTGTCTACGCTGCCCCCTTGCCTCCTGCTGCTGTCGCCTCGTCTGCTTCTGCTGTGGGCTCTCGCACAGTAACGCCCATGCCAGGGGTCTACCTTCCGCCTGCTGCTGCTGCTGCTCTTCCTCCCCACCCTCCCCACCCTGCTGCTACTCACTCCAGTCCTTCTCGTGCGTTCTCCCGCACAGCAACGCCCATGCCGGGAATCCATGCTGCTGCATCTGCTGCTGTCCCTGCAACTGCTACTAGTGCACCTGCTCTCTCCCGCACAGCAACGCCCATGCCTGGAATCCATGCTGCTGCATCAGATTCCGTTGCTCCTGCGTCTGCTCCTGTCTTTCCACCTGCCTCTGCTGCACCTGCTCTCTCCCGCATGGGAACGCCCATGCCAGGAGATGCCGTTGCTGCCGCCCCACACCCCCTCCTGCTGCTGCTCTGGCTGTAGCTCCTGTATCGTTCTCCAGAGCGGTAACGCCAATGCCTGGTGTCTATGATGCCTCGTACCCAGCGTCTGCTGCTGCTGCTGCTGCTGCTGCTGCCCCCCCTCCTCCTGCTGCTGCAGATCCTGCATCATTTTCTAGGGCAGAGACGCCTATGCCAGGCGTCTACGACGCCTCGTCGTACCCAGCTGCTGCTGCTGCGGCTGCTGCTGCTGCTCCTCCTCCTCCTGCTGCTGCTGCTGTTGCATCTCTTGCTTTCTCCCGGGCAGTAACACCAATGCCCGGTGTTGGTGTTACTCCAGCTACGCCAATGCCAGGCATGGGTGAGCAAAGCAGGCAGCACGCAAGCGCATTTCCCCCCAGGGCCACTCGCGAGGAGCAACTGAGGGGGCTGCCTTTTTCACCCATGCTGCGGGGCACTCAGGGATCCAAACTGCAGGGCACCGCAATTCCCACAGCCAGGCAAGGAGCCACAGCCGCAGCCAGAGCCACAGTCAGAGCCAGGGGGGGTGGGCTGGTGCCCACACGCATACTCGAGTTAGTGCTGCAGGTGCAGGTGGTGCTGCTCAGGGGGTTTGGGCTGGCATGGAGGGGCCAGGCGCAGTGGGTGGAGCCCAGAGTGGCTGGGAGGTGTGGAGTGAGGTGCTGCAGGGGGGGTATGGGCCCGGCCCGGGGGGCAGTGGGGACGTAGCAGGAATTGGGTATGGGCCGGGCCCGCTGGGCAGTGAGGGCGTCGCAGGAATGGGGTATGGGCTGGGGACTAGTGGGAGAGCAACAGAAGTGGGTAATACTAATAATACGTTAGGGAGTAGTGTGGGTGCAGCAGGGATTGGGTATGGGCCTTGGCAGGAAGGGGAGGAGGGGGTTGTTGGGGGAGTCAGCGGCTGGTGGTGGAGAGGGGGTGTGGGAGGGGGAGGGCACGGAGGGAGAAGGGGGAAGCAGTGTGGCTGACAGCCTGGCAAGCAGCATGGATGGGGGTGGCATGCCGGGTATGGCTGACTCAAGGTTCGAACGGGCTCTGAGTCAGTCCCTGGCACGTGCTGCTGTGAGCATGTGTTTTGATGGTAACGTACTTGACCACTCCCAACCCCATGCCCACTCTCGCGCCCGCTCCCACTCCTACTCCCGCGCCCACGCCCACTCTTACAACCTCGGCCACAGCAACGACTTTTATCGCGACCAGGGGCGTTTGCAGAACTCGGAGACGGACGAGGAGGAGGAAGAGAGGCCGTGGCTGCGTATCAAGCCCCGTGCCACTCAAACCGGCACCGAGCGCAGTGGCCAGCCTGGCAGGCAGCACAGCTTGCAGCAGAGCCGGCAGCAGAGCCGCAGCAGAGCACGAGCAGCGTCAGCAGCCGGCATACCAACAGGACAGAGAGTATCCTGTGGCCCGCAACTGCACCCAGTTTTGGTGCCGCCGTCGCTCCTGCTGCTGCTGCTACTGCTGCTGGTGGTAGCATTGCTGCTGCGAGTGGTACTGCTGTGGGTTGGGAGGGGGCAGGGGGAGATGTGCGGCGAAGGAGGGGGCTCTCCCTGGGTGGAGCTTCAGAGATTTCGTCCATCCGGAGCAGGACACGTGGCAGGGGCGGGTCTCTCAGTGACGTCACCAGTCTGGGGATGAGTGAGGGGGAGGGAGTGACAGAGAGTGAGGGAGTGAGTGAGAGAGGGAGTGAGGGGGAGAGCACGAGGTCAGTTGAGGCAGAACTAGGGGATCTGATGGATGCCTTGGATGGGGAGCTCTCTCCCTTCTGGACTGCCCATAACAGTGTGGGGAGCTTGGGCAGCGTTGGAGGGGGCAGGACTGGCAGCATTGGCAGCGTTGGGAGTAGTCTGGGGAGGATGCTGAGGGGGAGTGTGGGGAGTTTTAGGTCGGTGAGAGAGGGGGAGGGGGAGGGGGGGAACGGGCGTGTGGGGGAGGGAGTGGCTGGGAAGGATGTGGGCGGGACAGAGGCAGGGATGGGTGAGGAGGAGAGGCAGGCGAGGATGGATGTGTGGAGAGAAGTGATGGGGAATTACTGGGAGTTGAGAGGGGCAGGTGCACATGGTTTTAGGCAGGAAGGTGCAGATGTTCACGCACATGCAGACGCACATATGCAGGCAGATGCAGAGACTGACTCATACCCAGGCAGCTATGATGCTGGTTACGACGACCGGCCCGGGATTGCCCGCGCAGATGTGGTGGATGCGATGCATGGTGATGGCACGGGTCCGAGCATAAATGGAGAGGTGCAGGGCATGTATGTCCGAGATGACCTACGGGATGATGGAGAGGAGCGAGGGGAGGAGGTTGATGGTGAGGAGACAGAAGAGGAGGAAGAGGAGGATGGAGAGAGGGTGGTGGTGGTGTTCAAAACGGCCACCAGAGCTGCAGTGGTGCTTGCAGAGGGGAGCGATTTGAGCGATGGGGATGGTGTTGTTGATAGGGTAAGTGATGCTGACGTGGCGAGCTACGCAGATGTGGCAAGCGATGTTGACGTGGCACTTGACTCTGGGGTTGCAGACCCGGAGGATGGTGTGCTTAACGGCATGCATGACATGCGTGATGATGATGATGGGGATGGTGGGGAGGATGGGGAGGATGGGGCGCTGCATGAGGAGGATCCAGAGGACGAGTTGGAGGAGGAAGAAGAAGAGGAGGAGGATGAGAGGGTGGTAGTGGTGTTTAAGACGGCAACCAAGGGAGCAATGGTTGAAGAGGAAGAAGAGGAGGATGAGCATGAGGACGTGAGAGTTGATAGTGCTGCCGACCATGGTCATGTCTCTATGTCCGAGCATGGGTCCCTGACCGATGGCCATCTTGATACGGATATCGAGGATGCTGATAACGAGTTTGAGGATGGTGAGAGGGTGGTGGTGGTGTTCAACCGACCCAGGACCGCTGAAAGGATGCTGGATATGGAAGCGGAGAGAGAGGATATGGAGGAAGAGGAAGAGGAGGAGGAGGAGGAGGAGGAGGAGGATGCGGTGCTGCTAGGCAGTGTGGCTGGGGACGCGTTTCAAACAGGCAGCCAAACAGCCAGCCATGTGGGAAGCCACATGGGCAGCCCAACAGGGAGTCTTGTGGGTGAGGAGGAAGGAAGCGAGGCAGGGGAGATGGAGGAGGAGATTCATGCCAGTAGCGAGGATGACAGTATGGGGGATGGTGAGAGGGTGGTGGTGGTGTTTAACCGACCCAAAACAGCTGAGAAGAGGGAGGATATGGAGGAGGAGGAGGAGGAGGAGAGGGAGGAGGATGGGGAGAGGGAGGCTGATGATGAGGTGATGCTAGGCAGCGTGGCTGGGGATGCGTTCCTCCAAACAGGCAGCCATCCAGGGAGTCATGTGGATGAGGAGCTTGGTGCTGGTAGCGAGGAGGGCAGTATGGAGGATGGCGAGAGGTTGGTGGTGGTGTTTAAGAGGGCGACACTTGCTGAGAGAGATGAGATCGAGGAGGAAGAGGTGGAGGAGGAGGAGGAGGGTCGGAGTGAGAAGGGTTTGAAGCACCATTCGGATGGCTTGGATGTTGGAGAGGAAGAGCAGAGGGAGCATGAGGAGGAGGGTGGGGAGGAGGATGGGGAGGAGGAGGAGGAGGAGCACGAGGAAGAGGATGAGGTGGAGGAAGGTTATGAGGAGGAGGAGGATGGGGAGAAGAGGAAGGAGATTGAGCGGTGGATTGAGGTGGCAGAGAGGGAGCTGGCGCAGCAGAGCCCGGGGGCTGGCAGCAGGCGCAGTGGCAGCGGGGTGAGCAGCATTGACCTGAGCTTTGAGGTTGATATCAGCAGGAGTAGGAGTAGGAGCAGGAGCACGAGTGGGAGTGGGAGTGGGAGTGAGAGTGGAAGTGGGAGTGGGAGTGGGGGTGGGAGTGAGAGTGAGAGTGAGAATAGGAGCAGGAGCAGAAGCCGCAGTGCGAGTGAGACAGAGGGGAGTGGGAGTGAGAGAGAGGGGGCGAGGGGGAGTAGAAGGAGTGGGAGGATGAGCAGTGAGGAGGTGAGTGAGGAGGGATCAGAGCGAGTGAGGGTGAAGAACAGTGTTAGCAGCAGAAGCAGAAGCAAAGGCAGCAGAAGCATGCCTCGCAGTGGGAGAAGGAGCAGAAGCAGGAGCAGAAGCAACCACAGCAGCAGAGCAAGAAGCAGGAGCATTCACAGCAGCAGGAGCGGGAGCAGGAGGAGGAGCAGGAGCAGGAGCAGGGGCAGCAGTAGGATCAGGAGCAGCAGAAGTGGAGGGAGTGGGAAAAGGGAGAGTGTGGCGGATAGTGCAAACGAGGGGGTGAGTGTGGGAGGGAGTGAGAGGGGAGGTAAAACTGGTAGTGCGAGCACGAGAAGAAGCGATAAGACACAGAGCAGTAGCGTGAGCGAGCGAGCGAGTCACCACTTGCACGCGAGAGAGGGGAGGAGTGTGGACGGGAGTGTGAAATCAAGTGAGAGCGAGAGAGGAAGCGCCAGCAAGAGTGTGAGTGGTAGTTGGAGCGATGGGACGAGCAAGCACAGTGCTACAGGCAGTGCTACAGGCAGTGCTACAGGCAGTGCTACAGATAGTGCTAAGGGATCCGAGACTCAGAGTGGCAGTGAGCGGAGTAGTAGCATCAGTGGGAGCAGCCCTGGAAGCGATGTGAGAGCGAGGGGTGGTAGCAGAAGCAGAGGAGAGAGGACGAGTGGAAGCCAGCACTCTAAAGCCTCAGATAGCGATGTTTCCAGTGTGAGTGACAGGAGAAGTGAGGCCAGTAGCGAGCGAGGGGGTGTGGCGCAGAGTGTGAGTGAGCATGGTAGTGGGCATGGGAGTGTGCATGGTAGCGAACATGGGAGTGGCGTGTTGAGTGGATCACATAGTGAAAATGAGAGCGGCGTGCTCAGTGGGCTGCATTGTGAGGAGGTTCGGAGTGAGAGACAGAGTGTGACCGCCAGTGAAGGTGAGGGGGGTGGAAAGGGGACTGGGAAGGGCAGTGTGAGTGGAAACGAAGGGGGAGGCAGTGTGGAGAACAGTGACTCGGAGAATGTACGGGGGAATAAGTCTGAGAGAGCAAGTGAGGGAGCGAGTGAGGGAGGGAGTGAGGGAGGGAGTGCGAGGGGGAGTGAGAGCCTGAGAAGCAGCAGAAGCCATAGCACTTACAGCAGCACGCACAGCATGGCAAAGAGTGAGCACAGCAGCCTACACAGTCAGCACAGCAGCCGACATGGTCAGCACAGCAGTACACACAGTCAGCACAGCAGCCGACATGGTCAGCACAGCAGCACACACAGTCAGGACAGCAGCCCACACAGTCAGCACAGCAGCCCACACAGTCAGCACAGCAGCCCACACAGTCAGCACAGCAGCCCACACAGTCAGCACAGCAGCCCACACAGTCAGCACAGCAGCCCACACAGTAAGCACAGCAGCCCACACAGTCAGCACAGCAGCCCACAAAGTCAGCACAGCAGCCCACACAGTCAGCACAGCAGCCCACACAGTCAGCACAGCAGCCCACACAGTAAGCACAGCAGCCCACACAGTCAGCACAGCAGCCCACAAAGTCAGCACAGGAGCCCACACAGTCAGCACAGCAGCCCACACAGTCAGCACAGCAGCAACGCGCATAGCAGCAGGAGTGCGGCCAGCCGTTCTGCCAGCAGTGACAGCAGGAGTGGTGCGAGCAGCGGGCATGCGGAAAGTAATGCTGACGGTGCTGCTAGTGTTGCTAATGCATTGAGCAGAAGAAGCGATGCGAGTGCTGGTAGTGAATTCAGTCCAGAAAGTGGTGATGGCGCTGCTGGAGTCACCCAAGCTGACAGCACAGGCAGTGAGCGGTCCAGAGCTAGTGGCAGCATGAGCAAAACGAGCAGCGTGAGCAGAGGGAGTAGCAAGAGCAGGGGGAGCAGCATGAGCAGCCACAGGTCGAGTGGTAGTGGGAGCATGGGGAAGAGGAGCAGTGTTAGCAGGGAGGGCAGCTTCAGCAGTCGTGGGTCGGATGGGGGCAGCCATGAGGAGGGCAGCCATGAGGGTGGTTCAAGGAGTGGTGAGAGTGAAGGGGAGGATGCGTGGGGAGCAGTGGAGGAGAGTGGAGTATTGGAGAGTGGAGTATTGGAGAGTGGAGTATTGGAGAGCGGAGTGATGGAGGGAAGTGGAGCATTGGAGTTTAGCAACGACGTGGAGAGGTTAAGTGATGAGGAAGAGGAGAGGGAGGGACAGGGGGCTGAGGTTGAGGATCAAGAGAGCGAGAGAGGTGGTGCAGATGATGTGTGGAGCAGTGACGGTGACGCATGGCCCGAGGCAGAGGCAGAGGCAGAGGCACAGGAGGTATCGGAGGGTGCAGGCGTGACTGTTGATGGCCTAGCGATGAAGACAGGAGCAGGGGCAGTGGAAGGAAGAGGCGTAGGGGCAGGGGGAGGAGCAGACACAGAGAGCGTGGATGGGGCAAGGGGCATCCTGGAGAGTGACGGTGAGGAGGAGGCGAGCTGGGTCAGCAGTAACTTGTCTGCACTGCAGCAGGTGAAGCTGGCGCCTGGACACGTGGCAGATGGTGATTGGACAGAGGAGTGGGAGGGGGAGCAGCAGCAGAAGGTGCATGCACAGGGCGAAGAGGGTCGGGCAATTGAGGATAGGGAGTTGGGAGGGAAGGAGGGGCCTGTGGAAGGAAATATGGAGGTTAATCGCCAGGTGAATGATCAGGTGGCTCAGGAGGGGGTGCAGCAGGTGGACCGCCAGGTGAATTATCAGGTAGTTGAGCCAGCTGGTGAGCAGCAGCAGCAGCAACAGGGTGAAAGGGAGGCAGCAGACGGGGCGGCAGAGAGCATAGGAGGAGTGGGCAAGGGTGGGGTCATGCGGCAGATCGGCGAGGATGCGTACGAGTATGATATGGGGGGTGATGTGTATGAGGGTGAGCTGGACTGGAGCAGAGATGTGGGCGATGGGGGGGTGGGCATGCAGGGGTGGTCGGGTGAGTGGACGAGGGGGAGTGAGGTGTGGGGTGGTGCGAGTGGCGTGACAGGTGCTGGTGTGGAGGCAGGGGATGGTGTTGAGGCCGAGTTGAGTGTGGAGGAGGGAGAAGGCATGGTCAGCAGCGCATCGGACGGGGCAGGTGGGGTGGTGGAGCTGATGGGAGAGTTGGAGGGGACAGAGGGCAGTCCCTTGGATGCTGATGCTGGGATGACAAGAAGTGCGCTGGAGTTTGAGGAGTCAGTTAGTGCTGTCGCTATTGCTGCATCCTGCTGTGCTGGTGGTGGTGCTGGCAGTGGTGCTGGCAGTGGTGTTGGCAGTGGTGTTGGCAGTGATGCTGGCAGTGATGCTTCGAGCAGCAAAAGTGATGAGGAGGGGGGCGAAAAAGAAACGGCTGTCAGGGATGTTGAGGAGGAGGAGGCTGAGGATGAGCCGGCAGAAGAAAGACAGGAGGAGGAGACTGAGAAGGGGGCAGAGCAGGAGGTGGAGGAAGAGGAGGAGGAGGAGGAGGAGGAGGAGGAAGAGGAGGAGGAGGAGGAGGAGGAAGAGGAGGAGGAGGAGGAGGAGGAAGAGGAGGAGGAGGAGGAGGAGGAGGAAGAGGAGGAGGAGGAAGAGGAAGAAGGGAAGGATGAAGCACCAGAGGGGGCAGAAGGGGCAGAGGAGGACGAGGCGGAGTGGAGCGACTTGTCGAGTGAAGCGGAGTGGAGCAGCATGGAGCTGGCGGCCACCCAGTCCCCTTTTGCCCCCTCTCCTCTCCAGTCCATCAGCCCCTACGCGTCTCTCTCCCCACTGCCATCCAACGCCCCGAGCTCAGTTGTGCCTCTAGACTGCACTGCTGTCAGCCTCGCTCTTGAACGGCAACAGGAGCAGCAGGAGGAGAAGGAATCAGGGGCAGAATCTGGGGAAGAAGTGGAGGGGGAAGAGGAGGAGCAGGAGGAGGAGGAGGAGGAGGAGGAGGAGAAGGAGGAGAAGGAGGAGAATGAGGAGCAAGAGGAGGAGGAGGAGAAGGAGGAGCAGGAGGAGGAGGAGAAGGAGGAGCAGGAGAGGGATGAGGGGCTGGAAGGGCAGGGCGGCACATTCTCTTTTGCCGCTGGCAGCCCATCTCTAGCGCTGCCCCTCGCCAGCCCTGCTGCGTTGCCTCACGATCGAATCACCGGGGAGGTCGGAGCTCTGCAGTGCCGCTCACCTCTCCAGAGTGAGGCGGACGAGGCTCAAGTCTCTCTTCCCACCACTCCTGCGCCTCAATGCGCCTCTCCCCATTCGTCTCCTGGGTCTCAATGCGCCTCTCCCCATTCGTCTCCTGGGTCTCAGTGCGCCTCTCCCCATTCGTCTCCTGGGTCTCAGCGCGCCTCTCCCCATTCGTCTCCTGGGTCTCAGACTCAGCGCGCCTCTCCCCACGCATCTCCTGCCTCTGCTTTACCCCTTCTTCCTGCAACCCACCCTGCTTCGTCACCTGCCAGCCCTGCTGACGTGGCAGTCTCTGCTGACGTGGCAGTCTCTGCTGATGTCGTAACGGCTGGGCGTGACGCCACTGGCCCACCTGAAAGCCCTGTTCTGGAGTCACGCTCGATTCCAGCTGCTGGTGTTACCAAATCACCTGACACGTCACCTGGGGCTGCACCTGACATGGCACCTGGAAAAAGCTCTGCCTCTGTTGAGGTGCTCCCTTCAGGTGCTGTCTCTGTTGTTCTGCCCTCAGGTGCTGTTTCCGTCGTGCTACCTTCAGGTGCCGTGTCTGTCATGCTGCCTTCAGGTTCTGTCACTGTTGCGCTGCCCTCAGGTGCTGTCTCTGTTGGTTCAGGTGCCAGCCCTGATTCATATGCTGTGAATTCACCTGAGGCAGCTGGAACAAGAATGGATCAGAGTGAGTGGGAAGACTTGAGGGTGGCAGAGGTTGAGGAAAAGGGGGAGAGTGAGAGTGGGAGTGAGAGTGTTGGTGAGAGGGAGAGGGATGAGGAAGAAGGGGAGGCGCATGAGGGAGAGAGTGAGAAGTGGGAGGAATCAGAAGAGTGGAGCGATGCTGGTCTGGATGCGGTAACCAGTGATGCTGGTGATGCGGTAACCAGTGAAGCTGGCGATGCGGTAACCAGTGAGGCTGGGGATGCGGTAACCAGTGAAGCTGGCAATGCGGTAACCAGTGAAGCTGGCAATGCGTTAACCAGTGATGCTGATGTGGCTGTGGTCATCAGCAGTGCTGGTACGGAGGAGATCGGGAGTGGAGGGAGCGTTGAGGAGGCAGGAAGAGAGGTAGGGGAGAGTGAAACGGCAGGTGATGAGGGCGGGGAGAGTGATGTTAGTGACAAGGAATGGTCTGACATGGATGGAAGTGAGAGCGAAGGGAGTGAGAACGAGGGGAGTGAGAACGAAGGGAGTGAGAACGAAGGGAGTGAGAACGAAGGGAGTGAGAACGAAGGGAGTGAGAACGAAGGGAGCAAGGCAGAAGCTTCTGAAACTAGGGTGAGAGAAGACACTGATGGGGAAACTAGGGATGCGAGTGAGGGGGAGGAGAGTGGGAGAGAGTCACCTCAAGAGGGAAATGAAGTGGTCACAGAAGAGGCCACGGTGGCCGCGAGTGAGGAAGCAAGGGAGGCAGCAAGCAAGGAAGCAAGCGAGGCAGCAAGGGAGGAAGCAAGCGAGGCAGCAAGCGAGGCAGCAAGCGAGGCAGCAAGCGAGGCAGCAAGGGAGGAAGCAAGCGAGGCAGCAAGCGAGGCAGCAAGCGAGGCAGCAAGCGAGGCAGCAAGCGAGGCAGCAAGCGAGGCAGCAAGCGAGGCAGCAAATGAGGCAGCAAGCGAGGCAGCAAGCGAGGCAGCAAGCGAGGCAGCAAGCGAGGCAGCAAGCGAGGCAGCAAGCGAGGCAGCAAGCGAGGCAGCAAGCGAGGCAGCAAGCGAGGCAGCAAGCGAGGCAGCAAGCGAGGCAGCAAGCGAGGCAGCAAGCGAGGCAGCAATTGAGGTGATGGAATCTCAAGCAGACACTGATGCTTCCATCGCGGTCCCAGCCTTGCATGCTGCAGCAGGTGGAGCCGATGATGACTCCCATTCTGAAGAGGGCCAATGGGGTGTGGCCGAGGGAGCAGAGGAGGGAGCTGTTGAAGGGACAGAGGTGGGGAGTGAAGGAGTAGCGGAAGCTGCTGAAGGGGGAGAGGCGGGTGTGAGCAGAGCGGAGGATGGGGAGCCTTTGGAAGCACAGTCGGGCTTGGTGGGTCGCCAAGCAGCTTCTGAGTTGACAGTGGGCGATGGAGCGACTTTTGAGTCGACTCAAGAGTTGACAGTGGGCGATGGAGTGGTGACACTGGAAGATAGCGAGTTGTTGGTAGCACAGGCAGGTGGGGTGTTGGCAGCACAGAGAGATGCGACGCTAGAAGCAGCAGAGGCGGGGAGTGCAGTAGCAGCGGAAGCTGTTGAAAGGGAAGAGGCGGGTGCGAGCAGAGGGGAGGATGTGGAGCCTTTTGTAGCACAGACTGGCTTTGTGGGTACGCAAGCAGCTTCTGAGTTAAGTGTGGGAGACATGGCAGCAGCAGAGGCACGTGGGTTGTTGGAAGCACAGGGAGATGAGACGCTAGCAGCAGAGGCAGGTGGCATGTTGGCAGCAGAAGGGGAGAGCGACGAGTGGAGTGATGTGGGGTCCGGTGTGGGTGAGTGGGAGGAGGATGGGCGGTCCGGAGGAGAGGAGAGTGTGAGTGCAGGGGAAGGGGAGGTTGAGAGTGAGGGAGCAGGGGAGGCTGATGACGGGAGTGAGGGGGAGATGGAGGAAGTAGGAAGGAAGAAGGATGGTGATGTGGAGAGAGATGAGGCCGAGAAGCAGGAGGAGGATGTTGAGAGAGAGGAGGTCGACGAGGAGTGGGGGGAGATGGATGCCAGGGAAGGAGTCCTTGGCAGCAAAGAGCAGGAGGTGGTGCGAGCAAGCAGCACACTAGTGGCAGAAAGTGTGGGAGGAGACGGCAATCTGCGTGCTGATGAGAGGCGTGGGGATGAGGTGACTTTTGAGTCAACTCAGCAGTCTCCTCGGCGTGTGGGTGAGGAGGACAAGGGGCAGGGTCGTGAGGAGCTGGAGGTTCTGCAGACGTCAGTTGAGGAGGGGGGTGTGGAAGAGAGGAGGGATGAGGAGGGGGGTGTGGAAGAGAGGAGGGATGAGGAGGGGGGTGTGGAAGAGAGGAGGGATGAGGAGGGGGGTGTGGAAGAGAGGAGGGATGAGGAGGGGGGTGTGGAAGAGAGGAGGGATGAGGAGGGGGGTGTGGAAGAGAGGAGGGATGAGGAGGGGGGTGTGGAAGAGAGGAGGGATGAGGAGGGGGGTGTGGAGGAGGAGAAAGAGGAGGAGAGAGTGGAGGAGGAAGTTGCGGTGGCGATTTTGCATGCAGATGCAGAAGGGAGTGGAGTGGAGTATGAGAGAAGGAGCGAGAGCGAGAATGATAGGGAGCAGGCGAAGGAGAGTGAGGGTGAGATGGAGAGTGAGGGTGAGATGGAGAGTGAGGGTGAGAGGGAGAGGGAGGGTGAGATGGAGAGTGAGGGTGAGATGGAGAGTGAGGGTGAGATGGAGAGTGAGGGTGAGAGGGAGAGGGAGGGTGAGATGGAGCGGGAGAGTGAGAGAGAGAGCAAAAGCGACACTGAGAGTGGGGGAAAGAAAGAAGATGACAGTGAGAGGGGAAGTGTGAGTGTGAGTGTGAGTGGGAGTGAGAGTGAGAGCAAAAGGGACAGTGAGAGTGAGGTAGAGAGCGAAGGTGACAGTGAGAGGGGGAGTGAGAGTGCGAGTGAGAGGGAGAGCAACCAGGATGGTGAGAGTGAAGGGGGGAGTGAGAGTGAAAGTGAGAGGAGGAGTGAGAGCGGAAGAAGTAATGAGAGCAGAAGAAGTAGTGAGAGCAGAAGAAGTAGTGAGAGCAGAAGAAGTAGTGAGAGCAGAAGAAGTAGTGAGAGCATGAGTGAGAAAGAGAGTGAGGTAGAGAGCAGGAGGGAGAGTAACATGGGCAGTGAGAGTGAGGGGGAGAGTGCAAGTGAAAGCGAGAGGGCGAGTGGAAGGGACAGTGAGAGTGAGGGATGGAGTGAGAGTGGGGGAGGAAGCGCAGACGAGCAGTTGAGGAATGAGAGAGTGACTCATCCAGAAGAGAGTGATGCAGAAGAGGCTCTAGCCGGGTTGCACAGCGAGGGTTTGAGGGTTGGGGAGGCAACCCAGGAGGCACAAAGCGAGGCAGATGCTGCCGGTATCGCAGAAAGCGAGGCAGATGCTGCCAGTATCGCAGGGGCTGACAGGGAGGTAGCGGCTGGGAGACAGGTGGCGGTTGATGCAGAGGCGGCGATGGGTGGAGATGCAGTGGCAGCGATTGGTGGAAAAGCAGTGGCAGGGGGGGTCTATCAAGCAGAGGTGGGGCTTGGGCAGGAAGGAGGAGGAGGGGTTGAGTGGCTGCAGGGGCACACTGGAGTAGAGGAGGGGTTAGTGAGGGAGGTGAAGGTGGAGGGCGAAACTGGGGGAGGTGGAGAGGAGGAAGATGGAGCAGGGGTGGGTGGCGTGGAAGAGGCTGGAGATTCAGTGGTGTCGACACAGGAAGAGAGTGGGGAGTATGACGCCGCCGCTGCCGCTGCTGCTGATGATGATGAGGCGACTGCAGGCGTTGAGGTGTCTCAGCAGGAGGAGGCTTCTGCTGGAGTTGAAGCAGTCACCGCAGACAAAGCAGAAGCGGTTACCAGTGCAAGCAGTGACCTGTGCATTGCAGCGCCACTTGAGCCTGTGGCGTCAGGAGTCCCACCTGTCTCGAGTCCTGTCTCGCTGGCAAGCGCCCCTGCTGTCTCAGCCACCCCTGCTATCTCAACAGTCCCTGCTGCTGTCATTGCTCCCTCTGCTCCCTCTGTTGCTTCTCGCCCTGCCAATTCCTGGATCCGCCCAGCGCACCCTTCTTCGCACTCCGGCTCTGATTCCGACTCTGACTGGTCCGACTCCGAACCTGCGCCCAAGCCTGTGCCGATCCGATCCTGGAGAGCAGGTGTGGCGAGCGCAGCAGCAGTGCCAGCAGCAGCACCCGCCCCTGTGCCTGCCGCCTCTCCTCGCCCCGCAGTAGCTGTGGGACGGCTGCGAAGTGACTTCCTCAACCGCTTCCAACAGCAGCAGCAGCAGCAGCAGCAGCAGCAGCAGCAGCAGCAGCAGCAGCAGGAAGTGGAGCAACCCTCTGTGGCTCCTCTTACATCTCCCCAACAGCAACAGCAACAGCAGCCCTCTGAGCCTCCTGCTATGCTTTTTGAGAATTCTCAAGAGCAGCAGCAGGTTTCTGCAACTTCCCCTCGCTTCTCACAAGAAACACTACAAATAGCCACTGCTGACTCAGCTGTTGATGTGGAATTTGCTGGTGACGTGGAACAAGCTGCTGATGTGGAGCATGCAGCTGAGGGTAAAGCAGAATTAGCTGCTGATGGGCATGATGATGTGTTTGCCGATGGGGACGGGCCTGCACTTGTGGAATCTGCTGCTGACGTGGCGTCTCCTGCTGATGTGGATGCGAGGCCATCTTCTCCAGAAGGGTCAACCATCGGCATGCAAGATGCTGTTGATGTGGCATCTGATGTGGCATCTGATGTGGCATCTGATGTGGCTTCTGATGTGGCTTCTGATGCCGCAATCGCTGTGGCGTCTGGTGTGGCTGCTGATGTGGCATCTGATGTGGCTGCTGATGAAGCTCTGTGTGGGCCTGGAGGGGCTAGTTTGCTGCTGGCGAGTGGGGTGGTCGAACCCTTACTGGCGACGAAAAGGCGGGCAGAAGAGGTGGAATCAGAAGGAACAGAAAGAGAAAGAAGAAGTGAGGCGGAAGGAGAGAATGCGGTGGGAGCAGAAGAATCAGAAAGACGTGAATTCGAAAGAGAAAGCAAGGTGGAAGGAGAGAGGGAGGCGGAAGGGGAGAGTGGTATGGAAGCAGAAGTGGTGGAGGCAGGAGAGGTGGAAGCAGGGAGTGACGTGGAAGCAGGGAGTGACGTGGAAGCAGGGAGTGACGTGGAAGCAGAGAGTGACGTGAAAGCAGGGAGTGACGTGGAAGCAGAGAGTGACGTGGAAGCAGTGAGTGACGCGGAAGCAGAGAGTGACGTGGAAGCAGAGAGTGACGTGGAGGCAGAGAGTGACGTGGGAGCAGGGAGTGACGTGGAAGCAGAGAGTGACGTGGGAGCAGGGAGTGACGTGGAAGCAGCGAGTGACGTGGAAGCAGAGAGTGACTTGGGAGCAGGGAGTGGCGTTGAAGACAAGCAGCCAGTCTCAGTCCCAGCAGGTGAAGCCGCAGCGGCACCAGCCCCATCAGCACCTAACTCCGAATCTGACTCTGCAGCCGAAGCCGAGGGGGTGGAGCAAGAGGGGGAAGGCAAGCGGCGTGCCTTGGATGCGACAGGTGAATCCGCAGCGGCGACACCAGCCCCATCAGCGCCTAACTCCGAATCTGACTCTGCAGGTGAAGCCGAGGAGGTGGAGGAAGGGGGGGGGGTGATGGCACAGAAAGGGTGCTGCAGGTGGGGGAAGCTGTTGCTGCTGATGGTGCCGATGCTGAGTCAGATGACGAAATGGCCAACGCTGACGTGGGTGCAGCTGTTGGTGCTGATGTGGCTGTTGGTGCTGATGTGGCTGCCGTTGATGCCGCCACTGGTGTGGGTGCAGCTGTTGATGCACTTGCTAATGCTGATGCGATTGCGTTCGTTGACGCGGCTGCAGAGGTTGCGTCAAAAGCTTCATCTGATTCACCTACAATACTACCTGATTCACCTGCTGTGCCTCATTCACACGATGTGCCTCATTCACCTGCTGTGCCTCATTCACCTACTGTGGCTGAAGTTGTTGCTCTGCTTGATTCACCTCCGGTGCCCCATGCGCCTGCTGGGGCGGAACCACCTGCTTCTCCCCCTGCGTCTGACACGCAGTCAGTGGCTCCAATCGAGAGGGAGGAGGAGGAGAGGGAGAGGGAGGAGGAAGAAAAGGAGAGCGATGAGGAAAGGGAGGAGGAGAGGGAGGAAGAGAGGAAGAAGGAGCGGGAGGAGCTGGAGCAGAACGAAGATAGGATTTCGCCTGCTTCCCCTGCTGTTGCTGAAGCACCTTCTCTCAGCCCCGACTTCGCCCCTGCCTCTGACTCGCAGTCAGTGGCTTCGAGTGAAAGGGAGGAGGAGGAAGAGGAGAGGGAGGAGGAGGAAGAAGGGAGTGAGGAGGAGGAAGAGGAGAGGGAGGAGGAGAGGGAGGAGAAAGAGGAGCGGGATGAGGAGAGGGGGGAGGAGAAGGGAGATGAGATATCGCCTGATTCCCCTGCTGTTGCTGAAGCACCTCCTCTCAGGCCCGCCTCCGCCCCTGCCTCTGACGCACAATCTGTGGCTCCAAGTGAAAGGGAGAGGGAGGAGGAGAGGGAGGAGGAGAGGGAGGGGCTGGAGCGGAAGGGAGATGAGATGTCACCAGCTTCCACTGCTGTTGCTGAAGCTCCTTCTCTCAGCCCCGCCTCCGCCCCTGTCTCTGACTCGCAGTCAGTGGCTTTGAGTGAAAGGGAGGAGGAGGAAGAGGAGAGGCAGGGAGAAGAAGAGGAGAGGGAGGAGGAAGAAGAGGAGAGGGAAGAAGAAAGAGAGAGGGTGGAGCAGAAGGAAGACGCGATCTCGCCTGCTGTTGCTGAAGCGTCTGCTCTCAGCCCCGCCCCTGCGTCTGACACACAGCCAGTGGCTCCATGTGAGAGGGAGGAGGAGGAAGAGGAGAGGGAGGATGAGGAGAGGGAGGAGGAGAGGGAGAGGGAGGAGGAGAGGGAGAGGGAGGAGGAGAGGGAGAGGGAGGAGGAGAGGGAGAGGCTGGGGCAGAAGGGCGATGAGATATCGCCTGAGTCCACTGCTGTTGCTGAATCTGCTTCTCCCAGACCTGCCTCCCCCCCTGCCCCTGACAAACAGTCTGTGGCTCGGAGTGAGAGGGAGGAGGAAGAAGAGGAGAGGGAGGAGGAGATGGAGGAGGAGATGGAGGAGGAGAGGGAGGAGGAGAAGGAGAGGCTGGAACAGAAGGAAGATGCAATCTCGCCTGACTCCCCTGCTGTTGCAAAAGAGCCTCATCTCAGCCCCGCCTCCTCCCTTGTGTCTGACGCGCAGTCAGTGGGTCGAAGTGAGAGTGAGGAGGAGGAAGAGGGGAGGGAGGAGAAGGAAGAGGAGAGGGAAGAGGAGAGGGAGCATGAGAGGGTGGAGGAGAGGGAGAGGCTGGAGCAGAAGGAAGATGCAATCTCGCCTGACTCCCCTGCTGCTGCTGAAGCGCCTTCTCTCAGCCCCGCCTTCGCCCCTGCATCTGATGTACTGCTGGTGGCTCCAGGTGCGAGGGAGGAGGAAGAGGGGAGGGAGGAGGAAGGGAGAGGGAGGAGGAGAAGGAGGAGAGGGGGGAGGAAAGGGAGAGGGAGGAGGAGAAGGAGGAGGAGGAGCCGAAGGAGGAGAGTGGGGGATTGACGGAGAAAACCGTGGGAGAGGAAAGAGGTTTGGAGGGAGAGGATGTGGAGGCAGAGAGGGTGAAGGACGAGAGTGTGGAGGGAGAGAGTGTGGAGAGAGAGAGTGTGGAGAAAGCGAATGTGGAGCTTGAGAATACTGGGGCTGGAGCAGTGGCAGTGGATGCTAGCAGCGCTGGTGGCGAGTGGATAGTCAAGGCTGTCTCAGTGGCAGTGCAGGCAACAGAGGGAGGAGAGCTTGGTGGCGAGCAGATATTTGATGCCGCAGAGGTGGAAGGAGGAGAGGCAGTGGACGGAGAAGCAAAAGTGGAAGAAAGAGCGGCGGAGGAAAAAGCAGCAGTGGAGGAGAAAGCAGCAGTGGCGGCAGAAGAAGCAGCAATGGGGGAGGGGCAAGCAGCAATGCGGGAGGGGCAAGCAGCAGCAGCAGTTGATACAACAGCCCCCTTGGACACCATTCCCTCTCGCCCTGCCAATTCCTGGATCCGCCCAGCGCAGCCTTCTTCCCACTCCGGCTCTGATTCCGACTCTGACTGGTCCGACTCCGAACCTGCACCCAAGCCTGTGCCCATCCGAGCCTGGAGAGCAGGTACGGTATTGGCAGTAGCTGCTGCTACTCCTGCCACCTCTCCTCCCCCCCCAGCAGCTGTGGGGCGGCTGCAAAGTGACTTCCTCAACCGCTTCCAGCAGCAGCAGCAGCAGCAGCAGCAGCAGCAGCAGCAGCAGCAGCAACATGCTGTGCAAGCCAGTCCTGACGCCTCATTTGTGCAAGCAGCTGGGGGCGCTGGGGGGGCAGTGGGGGATGGCAAGGCAGAGGGGGCGATGGAAGCGGATCTGACAATAATGGAGGTGAAGGGAGAGGGTGTGACAATAATGAAGGTGAAGGAAGGGGGCTTACCTATGGTAGGGCATGAGGAGAAGTCGCTGACAACTACAGAGGCTGAGGAAGAGAGAGAGGAGGAGGCTAAGGAGGAGATGGAGGAAGGGTATAAGGAAGAGAGGGGAGAAGGGGATGAGGAAGAGAGAGAGGAGGAGGCTAAGGAGGAGATGGAGGAAGGGTATAAGGAAGAGAGGGGAGAAGGGGATGAGGAAGAGAGAGAGGAAGAGGCTAAGGAGGAGATGGAGGAAGGGTATAAGGAAGAGAGGGGAGAAGGGGATGAGGAAGAGAGAGAGGAAGAGGCTAAGGAGGAGATGGAGGAAGGGTATAAGGAAGAGAGGGGAGAAGGGGATGAGGAAGAGAGGGAGGAAGACGTAAAGGAGGAAAGAGGAGAAGAGGCTAAGGTCGAGAGAGAGGAAAGGGCTCGGGAGGAGAGGGAGGTAGAGGCTAAGGTGGAGCGGGAGGAAGAGGCTAAGGCGGAGAGAGAGGAAGAGGCTAAGGCGGAGAGAGAGGACGAGGCTAAGGCGGAGAGAGAGGAAGAGGCTAAGGCGGAGAGAGAGGAAGAGGCTAAGGCGGAGAGAGAGGAAGAGGCTAAGGCGGAGAGAGAGGAAGAGGCTAAGGCGGAGAGAGAGGAAGAGGCTAAGGTGGAGAGAGAGGAAGAGGCTAAGGCGGAGAGGGAGGAAGAGGCTAAGGAGGAGAGAGCGGAAGAAGAGGCTCAGGGCGATGCTGTCGTGGCTGCCTCTTCCCCTCCCCCACTCTCCGCCCCTCACCCTCCCACCCTCCTCCCGTCAGCACAGCTACCCACACCTGCTGCCACCATCGAGCCTTCCTCTTCTTCTCCCCTCACCGCGCCTGCTGTCACTATCAAGCCACGCGCCCCAGACTCTTGGATGAGGCAAAAGAACCGCTCTCCCTCCGACTCAGGCTCGGACTCTGACTGGTCTGACTCCGAACCTGCACCCAAGCCTGTACCCATCCGAGCCTGGAGAGCAGGCACGGGGAGTGCTGTAGCGGCAGTAGCAGCAGTGCCTGCCGCTGCCTCCCCTCCCCCACCAGCAGCTGTGGGGCGGCTGCAAAGTGACTTCCTCAACCGCTTCCAACAGCAGCAGCAGCAGGCCCCTGCGACTTCTCCTGGACAACTGTCGACTGCTACTGGTGCTGCTGATTCTGATAGTTCTTCTGTTGCCACCACTACTTCGAAGGGCGGTGTTTCTGGTGGTTCCGGTGATGTGGTGGGAGCAGCGACGCCAGCAGCAGAGACAGGCGCAGCAGGAGAGGTTGGGGAAAAGAGTGGAACGGAAGGTGAAGCAGCAAGATCAGATAACAGCCAAGCAGAGGGCAGTGAGAGTGTTGGTGGAAGGGCGAGTCTCGCAGGGCTGCAAGCAGAGACGACTCCAGAGGCACACAGAGAGAAAGAGGCAGAGGCAGGGGAGGATGGAGAGGCGGCAGGCGGTGAGGCAGTGGGACAGGCGGCAGCAGTAGAGGTAGTGGAAGAGGGGGTGGCGGATGCACCCAGCCCTGCAGCAGATGCACCTACTCCTGCAGCCGAGGAGCCATCACCTACCACACCCATTGCAGCACCAGAGGCCGCCTTTGCTGCTCCTTCCATCACCTCCCCTCAACCCCTCTCCTCCCCTCAACCTTCCACTCCTCTCCTCGCCACGCCTGCCATCACCATTAAGCCACGCGCTGCAGACTCGTGGATGAGGCGGCCCAACCAGGCCAAGTCCGACTCAGGGTCGGATTCCGACTGGTCTGACTCCGAACCTGCACCCAAGCCTGTGCCGATCCGATCCTGGAGAGCAGGTGTGGCGAGTTCAGCAGCAGTGCCAGCAGCAGCAGCCCCAGAGCCTTCCGCCTCGCCTACCCAAACAGCAGCCGTGGGGCGGCTGCGAAGTGACTTCCTCAACCGCTTCCAACAGCAGCAGCAGCAGCAGCAGCAGCAGCAGCAGGCCTCCCTGCCTCCTCTTAAATCTCCACAACAGCAGCAGCAGCAGCAGCAGCAGCAGCAGTTTTCTGTGTCTCCTCGTGTGCAACCTCACAGCCCCGAGGTTGCTGCTTCAGTTGGTGCTGCTGCTGCTGCGGATGATGTTGCTTCCACTGCCACCGCTGGCGGTGCTGCCCCTGCTGCTGCAGCTGAGAGCGCCGTTTCTGTCGGTTCTACCACAGTGGCAACCGATAGCGCCTTTACAGCTCCTGCTGCTGGTGCAGCAGCCGCTGTGGTTGTAGCCGCAGCTGCTGCTGTACCTGGTGTTATGCAGGGGAAGGAACTGGGAGGCTTGGGACGTGGAGAGGGCGTTGTAAGCACGGGAGAAGGGGGAGAGGGTGGAGAGGGTGGCCCAGAAGACGACGAAGCGGGTGGAGTGAGCATTGGTAAAAGGGGGCCAGTGACAGTGGGAGTGGAAGAGGCTGTGGCCGGGGGAGCAGAGACAGCTGCAGAGGAGGGCAGCACGTCAGCAGCCGAGTTGGCAGCAGAGGGAAGTGGGGAGGTGGAGAACGGTTCAGAGGCAGCAATGGTGGTGGTTGGGCCTGACGAAGAGAAGACAGGGGAGTTGGTGGGAGAGGGAAGGGCGCAGGCGGATGGGGGTGCGGAGGAGGAGGGTGTAGAGGAGGGGGGGAAGCAGTGGGAGGACCAGCAGGAGTGGGAGGAGGGGGGGGAGCAGACTTGGGAGGAGGAACAGGGCGAAGAAGAAGGGGAGGAAGGAAAAGAAGACAAAGAAGAGGAAGAAGCAGAAGAAGCGAAAGAGGAAGAGGGAAGTGCTACAGAGGGCAAAGAGGAGTCTGAGGCAGAGGAGGAGGATGCAGAGGGAGAGGAGGAAGAAGGGAGTGAGGGAGGAGAGGCGAGTGAAGCGGGGTCCTCCGAGGAAGTGACTGTGGAAGTGACAGAGGAGTATGAGGAAGTTACGGTTGAAGCAACAGAGGAGTATGAGGAAGTCACTGTAGAAGTTACAGAGGAATACGAAGAGGTAACCGCAGAGGTGACCGAGGAATATGAAGAAGTTACAGTAGAGGTTACAGAAGAGGTGACAGAGGAATATGAGGAAGTTACTGTGGAGGTTACAGAAGAGGTGACAGAGGAATATGAGGAAGTTACAGTGGAGGTTACAGAAGAGGTGACCGAGGAATATGAGGAGGTGACTGTGGAGGTTACAGAGGAATACACTGAAGAGGAAGTTACTGTAGAGGTTACAGAGGAAGTTACTGACGAGGATGAAACTGAGGAGGCCGCAGAGGAGGCGACAGAAGCAACTGGTGGAAAAGAGGCAGAAAGCAACGAGGGACAAGAGGGGGAGCAAGAGGAAGAAGATGGGCAGCAGGAGGAGGAACACGAGGAGGAGTATGAAGAATACGAGGAGCAGGAAGAGGAAGAGGAAGTGGAGGAGCAGGAGGATGAGGAAGAGGAGGAAAGCGAAAAAGAGAGCACGAGCAGCAGCCCCAGCAGCACCGGAAGCAGCCCGAAGAAGAAGGCTGAAGAGAAGCAGGAGGAGGAGGATGACGAGGAAACAAAGCTAAGGAGGCAGGAGCAGGAGGAGCGCAACGCGGAGGAGCAGCGTAAGCTGCGGCTGCGCGTGGCCAGCATGAAGCGCTTCAACGTGGTGCTCGGGGAGCTGCGCCTGCGCCAAGGCATCCGCGGGGAGGGGGAGGAAGACGGCGGTGGGGAGGGAGCGGGGGATGACGGGAAGGGGGCAGGGGCCTCTGGTGGTGCTGGTGGTGGTGGCGGTGCTGCAGTGGTGCATGCGGGGGTGGCGGCAGCAGCAGTGGCGCCTGTTGCGCTGCCTGCCATGGCTGTTGCTGGTCGACCCAACCCACACAGTCCAGGAAAGGTATGATAGTAAGTTCGTTTTGAGTCGACTCAAAAGGTATGATAGTAAGTTCGTTTTGAGTCGACTCAAAAGGTATGATAGTAAGTTCGTTTTGAGTCGACTCAAAAGGTATGATAGTAAGTTCGTTTTGAGTCGACTCAAAAGGTATGATAGTAAGTTCGTTTTGAGTCGACTCAAAAGGTATGATAGTAAGTTCGTTTTGAGTCGACTCAAAAGGTATGATAGTAAGTTCGTTTTGAGTCGACTCAAAAGGTATGATAGTAAGTTCGTTTTGAGTTGACTCAAAAGGTATGATAGTAAGTTCGTTTTGAGTCGACTCAAAAGGTATGATAGTAAGTCCGTTTTGAGTCGACTCAAAAGGTAGGACTCATCTAACCTTGTGCAGAGGCACGCCTTCCACTCATCTAAGCTTGTGCCTCTCCCAACCGCCACGCACCGGGACATGTGCCTCCCTCTCGTTCCTCCACCCACCCCTCTTGCAGCGGTCGCGCCTGCTGTCTATGGTGGCGGCACAGGGCCTGCATGTGCCCGCCGCCAGTGCGGTGACCAAAAAACTAATGCCTCTCCTTCTCCCTCTCTCTCCCTCCCTCTCCCTCTCCCTCTCCCTCCCTCTCCCTCTGACTCCCTTTCTCTCGTTCCTCTTTGGCCCCTGCAGCGATCCCGCCTGCTGTCGATGGTGGCGGCACAGGGCCTGCACGTCCCTGCCAGCGCGGTGACCAAGGAAATCATGGGGCTCACTGGGAGTGCGGCCAAGGGGGGCGCTGGGAGTGTGATGAAGGAAAGAAAACGTCCAGCTTTGCTGGATGACAGCAGTGAGGAGGAGGAAGACGAGGAAGAGGAGGAAGTAGAGGAGGAGGAGGAAGACGAGGAAGAGGAGGAAGTAGAGGAGGAGGAGGAAGAGGAGGATGATAATGATGAAGAGGAGGAGGAGGGGGATGATGAGGGTGAGGGTGAGAGTGGAGAAGAGGAAGAGGAGGAAGCAGAAGAAGAGAGGGAGGAGGAAGAACATGAGGAGGTGGAGGAGGAAGAGGAAGAAGAGGAGGAGGAGGAGGAGGCGGCAGAAGAGGAAGAAGAGGAAGAGCAAGACGGAGTGGAGAACAATGAGAATGAGGAGAGTGAGGGGAATGAGGAGGAGGAGCAGGACCTAGAGCGCGAGGCAGGGTGCACAGATTCGGAGGCTGGGGAACACGAGGAAGAGTACTTGGGCGTTGACGCTTGGAGCACAGAGGACGTGGGGGAGAGTCAAACCGAGCAGGAGGAGGAGCAGCATCCAGAGCACGAGGCAGGGTGCACAGACACAGAGGCTGGGGTGCATGAGGGAGAGTACTCGGGCACTGACGCTTGGGAGATGGAGGACGGGGAGATTCAACCTGAGGAGGAGCAAGAGGGCTTGGAACCGGGCAGCAGCAATTCGCGGGACAATGTAGGGGCAGAGGAGGGGGGTGTGGAAATGGCTGAGCTGGGGAGTACCGGGGAGGAGCAAGAGGGTTTGCGAGTGAGTGGTGACGATTCGAAGCATGGCCTAGGAGCGGAGGAGGAGGAGTATGTGGAAGTGGTTCAGCTAGGGAGTCCTGGCGGGGAGCACGGGGAGGAGGATGTGGAGATGGTTAGGCTTGGGAGTGCTGGAGAGGAGGCAGGGGGTGCTGACGAGGCGGATGAGGATGCAGGGGCAGAAGCACATGAGGACGAGAGAACAGCACACACAGACGTGCAGGATGGCAGCAGCAGCAGCAGCAGCAGTGAACCGAGTAATAGAGTTCCGTCCATGGCTGCTGCTGTGAGTGATGCTTCCGCCCTTGGTACTTCCTCTGCTCACACAAGCAGAGAAGAGGTCAACACTAGCTCAGGAACATGGGAGGAGAGTAGCAGTGGGTCTGGCGGCAGGGTCCGGTCCCTGGCTGCTGCTGTGAGTGCTGGTGGTCAGGGCAACACTGACTGTAGCGACAGCATTGGCAACAGCAGCGGCAGCAGCGATGCCAGCACGGGGAGTGGAGCAAGGGAGGGAGGCACCAGTGAGGGTGGCAGCAGGGTGCGGTCCCTGGCTGCTGCTGTGGCTGCCGGCGCACTCAGCAACGCCGACAGTGGCAACAGCAACGGCAGCACCAGCAGCGACAGCAATGCGAGCATGGGGAGTGGGGCAAGGGAGGAGACCACCAGTGAGGGTGGCAGCAGGGTGCGGTCCCTGGCTGCAGCTGTAGCTGCTGGTGCAATCAGCAGTAGCAGCAACAGCAGCAGTGGTGGTGGTGAGAGTGGAGGGAAGGAGGGAGGTGAGGAAGAGCTGAGCGTTTCCCAAGGGCGGGTGCGTTCGCTGGCTGCTGCTGTTGCTGCAGCTGCTGTCGCTTCTGCTGCTGCTCCTCCTGCTGCCCCTCCTCTGGCGACCAGCAGCAGTGCAGCTGGTTCTTCGGCCACTGCTGCTGCTGCTGCAGCCACTCCAGCAACTTCATCTTCCCTTTCCAGCTCCGAGCCTGCCACACCCTCCAGCACAGTTGACAGCACGCCTGCCAAGGACCCCTCATTGGCTGACAGCACCGGTGTTACCGGCAGGGTATCTGCCAGAGACCCCTCACTGGCTGTGTCTGAGGGGCGTGTGAAGGCCCTTGCTGCTGCTGTTGTAACGTCTTCTTCTGCTGCTGAACCCACCAGCCCAGTCTTCAAGGAGGCGACTCTTGAAGTTGGTGAGGGTCGGGTGAAGGCACTTGCTGCTGTGGTGGCATCTGGTGGTGTTGCTACCACTGCTGATACTGACGCTGACACCAACGGGGCTGCTTCAAGGGACCCCTCTCTCCAAGCGGCTGAGGGGCGGGTGAAGGCTCTGGCTGCTGCTGTTCTCACGTCGTCTTGTGCTGATGACATCACCGGTGCACCCTCCAAGGAGACGACTGTGGAAGTTGCTGAGGGGCGGGTGAAGGCTCTTGCTGCGTCAGTGGCTGCTGCTAGTGTTGACACCACTGCTGACACCGACAGTGCGGCTTCAAAGGACCCCTCTCTCCAAGCGGCAGAGGGGCGTGTGAGGGCTCTTGCTGCTGTGGTGGCATCTGCGGGAGCTGACTCCACTGGTGCACCCCCTAAAGAGACAGACACTCTGGATATTGTCCAAGGGCGTGTGAAGGCCCTTGCTGCCTCTGTAGCTGCTGTGGGAGACACGATTGCTGAAACTAACGGTGCTGCTTCAAAGGACCCCCCTCTCCAGGCGGCTGAGGGGCGTGTGAGGGCTCTGGCTGCAACTGTTGCTGCTGCTGGTATTGACACCACTCCTGACACCGAAAGCGCTGCTTCAAGGGAACCCTCTCTGCAAACAGCTGAGGGGCGTGTGAAGGCTCTGGCTGCTGCAGTTCTCACATCTTCTGCCACTGTTGGCACCACCAGTGCGCCTTCCGAAGATGCTCTGCTAGAAGTAGCAGAGGGGCGTGTGAAGGCTCTTGCAGCGGCTGTTCTCACGCCTTCTGCTGCTGACAATACCACCACCACACTTTCCAAGGAAGCTGCATCTCTAGAAGTTGCCGAGGGCCGTGTCAAGGCACTTGCTGCCTCTGTTGCTGCTGCTTCTGCTGTGGACACCACCCCTGACACCAATAGTGCGGCTTCAAAGGACCCCTCGCTAGACGTTGCCGAGGGGCGTGTCAAGGCGCTGGCTGCTGCTGCTGCTGCTGTGGCCTCTGCTGCAGCTGATTCCAGCACAAGCACTAACAGCACTGCTTGGGACGACGACTCCTCTCTGGAAGCCATTGAGGGGCGTGTGAAGACCCTGGCTTCTGCGGCCTTGGCCTCTGCTGCAGCTGATTCCAGCACAAGCATTAACAGCACTGTGACGACCCTGGCTGCTGCTGTACCTTGTGCCATAGCCTCTGCTCCCCCTCCTCCTCCTCCTTCCGCCTCCCACTCCTCTCTCCCCACACACCACTCTGATTCTTCACTTCAGGACAAGGACACCTATGCCAGCTCCACTGCTGCTAGATTCCACCACGTCCCTAACAGCCCGACCCAGGCTAACAGTGACAAGAAGAGCAGCCAGCAGCAGCAGCAGCAGCATCTGCAGTATCCCACTTCCTCCTCCCACCTCATCCCCCGACCCTACTCCCCCTCGCCCCACCCTATCCCTCGCTCCCCTTCCGCCCACCTCCCCTGCTACACCCGCGCCCCCTCCTCCCACCTCGTCAGCCCCATTCGTCCACGTGGCAGCTTCAGCCCGAGCCGCTTCCGAGCCTTAGACTCGGCAGCTGCAGCAGCAGCAGCACTGGCAGGGGTCTCCCCCCACCGCCGCCTCCCCTCTCCTAACCTCCCTCGTAATTCCACCTCTCCCCATCCTTATGCTGGTCCTGTTCCCTTCCGAACCTCATCCGTGAGTCCTAGCCAGTCGCCAATGGGTAGGGGCCTGCCTCGCGAGAGGTTCGGGCTGCCGCCCAGGTTCGGCAGCATCGCGAGGTTTGGCGGCGGTGTGAGGGACCCGAGGTTCAGCGAGTTTCGTGATTCGTCGAGGGATTTGGATTTCCGGGAAGGGGCGGGGAGGAGGGGGGCTGGATTGGGGGAGGGAGGAGGGGGTGGAGGGGTGGGGATAGGGGGTTCGGGGGGTGGGGGTTTGGGGAGTGGGGGAGGGAGTGGGGGGTACAGCAAATCACAGTCGTTGGATCGACAGATGGTAGTGCGATCTCCTGGGGCGATGGTAGGAGGTGGGGTGGGGGTTTGGAGCAAGACAGTACCTGTAGGGTCTACTGTTGGCCCTGCCATGGAGGAGGATGGGGGTGGTGGTGGAGAGTCAGGGGATGGAACAGAAGGCGAGAGGGAGGAGGAAGGGAGAGGAGGAGAAGATGAGGAGAATGAAGAGGAGAATGAGGAGGAGGAGGCGGAAGATGGAGAGGCAGAAGTGGGAACAGCTGATGGCATGCAAGAGAACATGAGAGAGATGGAGAGACGCATGCAAGCAGAGGAGACGACAGCCGCCGCCCACTCGTTCCTGGCCCCTGTGGCATCAAGCGAGGGAGATGGCAGCAGCAAGACTTGGAAGGACATCCTCCTCTCTGTGAAAGCGGCCTCTCAGCCAGGGGCACCTGTTCCCGGCTCGGAGCTCTCAGCAGCTTCAGGCTCAGTCGGGGCAGTCGGGGCGCAGAGAGGACATGGGCCCACAGATGCAGGGAAGCAAGAAGGTGCAGGTGCTGCTGCTCTGGCGGCTGTAGCGGCCCAGGTTGTAGCAGGAATGCATGGGAGCAGGGAGGAGGGAGTGGTTGGTGCTGCTGGGAAGGCAGTGGGGGCGATTGGAGCGGGTCCTGCGGAGGGCTGCAGGCCAGAGGGGTGGAAGAGAGCAAGAAGTGTTGCGACTGGGGCGGTGGCCACTGGTTGGAGTGGGAGTGTGCAGGAGCAATGGGGCGTGGGAGAGAGAAGGGTGGACAGGCATGTTGCAGATGTGCCGGAGGGGGGAGGGCAGGAGAACGAGGAGGGGCAGTTTGTGAATGGATCAGTAGCAACAGGTGGAGCAGAACGGGAAGGGGAACAGGGAAGGGGAGGGGGAGGGGGAGGGAGAGAGGAAGGGGAAGATGGAGCAGTGATGAAGGCTGGTGCTGTGGATGGTGCAGTAGGGAGCGAGGAAGCCAGGGGTGGAGTGGCGTTCGTCAGCAGTGCAGCAGTGGTGGAAGGTGGTGGGGAGGAGTGGGGGGGCCAAAGTCCGATGAGGGAGTTGCTGGGAGCATTGGAGTCGCCCACCAGATGGGCTCACCTGTGCGCGAAGATGGAGTGCCAGCGACAGCTGTATGAAGGTATGCTTTACGGCATGTTTCTGGAGTTGGTGTTTCTGGTGCTCCCAGCATTCTCTCACCTTTTCGGTATCGCTCACTCTTCTGATGCCACTTTCTCATGCCCCCCCTATCAATCATCCCCTTCTCCCTTCAGACGATTCAAGAGCCACCCAGCTCTCAGAGCTGCCGGACGAATTCATCACCCAGATCCTCTCTCACCTCACCGACCCTCTCGACTGGGCGGCATGCCTCGTCCTATCCAGGCGCTTCGCCGCCCTCTCCTGCCTCGCCCTGCAAACCCTCTACCTCCTCCCGAACCGCCTGCTCCCCAAGCCTCTGCTGGCTCGGTACCTAGCCTGTTATCCGAACCTGGCGGCCCTGTACCTGCCTTGGAACAGCCTGGAGGTGGAAGGGGATGATGTTTTCGAGATGATTGTGCGATCGGGGCTGGAGCTACAGGCGCTGCACATTGACGTGTTCCCTGGGTATAATGTAAGCTGCTGTTTCAAGATCCTGTATTGAGGTTTTGTACGTATTTCTTTGCAAATATCCCCGCCATCCTTGCTGTTTCTTGCATTGCGTTCCTGTATTGAGTTTTCTTTATTTCACACTCGTTCTTGCTGTATTCCAAACTTCTCACCCCACTATTCTCACCTCATCCCCCATCTCCCTTGCTCTCCCCTTCCTCCCCCAACACCTACAGGAGCGCACCTACGCAAGAACCCCAGCAGGACTGAGCGCCCTCTTCACCTCGCTCCCCTCCCTCCGCTCTCTCTCTCTTTGCACCGGCCGTTTCGTCCGCACCCTTCCCACCTCCATCTCCCGCCTTTGGCGCTTAGAGGAACTGCTTATAATGAACCAGTCTTCGAAGCTTGGTTTGCGGTCTCTTCCACCTGCCCTCGGTCAGCTTTCGAATCTTCGCCGCCTGGTGCTCGACTCCTGCCTGCAGCTCGCTACGCTGCCCGAAGATATCGGGCAGCTGACAGGGTTGGAGGAGCTGGAGCTTCTGAGCCTGGATTGCCTGCGCCATCTGCCCGAATCCATCGGGCAGCTTCAGCGCCTGAAATGGTTCAAGATGTGCTGGTGCATGTCCGTCCGGAGTCTGCCAGAGAGCATCGGGCAGCTGAAAGAATTGGAGGAGATTGTGATCAACATGGCAGCAAGTGCAACTTGGCTGGGCACCCTGAAAGAGCTTCCGCAATCTTTTGGTCAGCTCTACTCCCTGCGCTTCCTGAAGATTGTTGGCTGCCCGTTGATGCTGGATCTGCCCGAATCCTTTGGGCAGCTCTATCAATTGGAAGAATTTGTTTTCGACAACAAGGGATTTGCAGAAGAGTCCGAAGCATGCGGACTTTTGTCCCTGCCCGACTCCTTCGAGCAGCTGACAAGTTTGGTGCGACTGGAGCTGCGCAACTGCTTCGCCCTCACCTCTCTGCCCGAATCTCTCGGGCAGCTCCCGTACCTCTACTCGCTCAAACTCATCGGCTGCTATTCCCTCTCCGCGCTGCCCGAATCTCTGGGCAGCTCGGGCAGCCTTCAACTTCTTCTTGTGGATAACAAAGTGGACGATGATGAGGAGGAGGAGGAGGAGGATGGGGATGGGGATGATGATGGGAGCAGTATTGTCAGCCATTCAACCGCCATGGACATGGGCATGGGAATGAGTATGAACGGCACCGATGGCACCACAGCCAGCGACGACGGCGCAAGCAACGGCCGAAACGGCGATGCGGACAATGAAGAGGATGACGACGATGATGATGACGATGGGCCGAGTGGGCTACTCTCCCTGCCATCCTCCATGGGTGCCATGTGCAACCTCCGCCAGCTCGTCCTGCGAGCCAACGTCTCGCTCGTCTCCCTCCCGCCCTCCCTCTTCTCCCTCCACCTCCTAGAAAGCCTCGTCCTGGACTTCACTGAAACTAGGACCCAGTTCTCCGACCACTCTCTCGGGCCGCCCAGCCCCCTCGGCTCCAAATCAGCATCTCTTGCCTCCCTCTCTAGCCTGCCTGTGAGCAGCAGCATGACTGGCATGGACACAGGCAGTGGTGCTGATGGAGGTCTCGGTTTCAATACCTCCATGACACTGATTCTGCCTGCTGATATGCCGGCCAAGCCGGCTAAGCCAGCCAAGCCTGCGGGGATTGCTGAGCTTCCGGAGGCTATTGCCCAGCTGGTAAATCTTAGGCGGTTGGACCTGATTGGCTGCTCAAACCTTTCCGAGCTGCCCGAGTCCTTGGGCAGCCTTCAGTTTCTGCAGAGGCTGGTGGTCGCATTCTGCCCAGCCATTCAGTCCCTCCCATCTGGCATCGGGCAGCTGAAATACCTCCAGACGTTCGTCGTTCAGAACTGCCCGAACCTTTGCCACCTGCCCGACTCGCTGACAGCATTGGCCGGGCTGCCCGAGCTGTGCATCGATGAGAAGTCGGTGGGTGTGAAGATTCCCGACCATCTCCTGAGACTGCCTGGATTCCGCCGGGACAGCTGCTTCTTTGAAGACCGGCTAGTCGTTGACTTGATTGAGTAGAATGCTAGGCTTGTTTCCTCCTGGCCTCAGTGCTTCCAAATGTAACACCTAGAAATACCCACTTACACCATTTAGTGAACTAGTGTATTCTGTATCGGCACGCTTTAGCGGAAAGGTTGGCACTGGATTTCCGGTACTAGACGGCCTCGAACCCAAGTCGCTACGACAACCACGTTGTTGGAAATATCTCAAAGGACTTAAGCGTTTCTGAAGTATAACACTGTACTCGAGGAAGATTACAGGGGAGCACGCGAGTCAACGGAGGTTGCACGAGGGGGTGGACAAAGAATGCGAAAAGACTCGAAAGGTCGCAACTGGAGGTTCCGACTGACCGTTACAACATCACGGATGGTAACCGAAGCGGCAATCGAGTCGCTGTGCGACTCGATAAACCGCTCCTGTAACTGTATTCTACAACCGCTTTCTTATTGTTGAAAGTACATCAAAAGACTTAAGCGTTTCTGAAGTGTAACACTACACTCGAGGAAGATTGCAAAGGGTACGCGAGTCAACGGAGGTTACACGAGGGGGCGGACAAAGAACACGAAGGGTTTGGGACTCAAAGGGTCGCAACTGGAGGTTGCGACTGACCGTTACAACAGCACGGATGGTAACCGAAGCGACAATCGAGTCGCTGTACGACTCGATAAACCGCTACTGCAACTGTACTCTACAACTGTTCCTTATCTTCTATATATTGCTGTATGTTTGCCTTTTTTATTAATCACTTGTTCTCACATACTAGTACAAGGGTTCAACTGCCTCAACTTCCGCTGCACTACTCCAAGCCTCAAGTCTCTACAGCTGGACTTAGTCTCTGCAAAAGATCCTAAGGGCTTTTCTCAGCCCAACATGGTATGAGAGCTGGTCAGAGACCAAACTCCCAGCAACTACACTCCATCAACAACCAGCAACTCGACTTGATTCAACAACTCCATTAATTACAAGACATGGACAACAAGGGCAAGAAAGTCTCTACGGGCTCACCCAGCGCCCAAGAAACTCAACACGGCAACTCTGGTCTGCACACCTCAGGACTGCAGACAGAGACCGGGACTGCTCAAGAAACAACGGGAAGAGCACCGGAGATGGTGACTCTGTCTCCCTCTTCAAGTGTGGACCCGAATCTCATGGAGAGATTCTTCAGTTTCATGTCACACTTCGACCAGCAGCAGCAGACAAGGACACCTGCGCACTCAACACAGAGCAATGGAGGGAATATGGGATTAGCGCCGATGAGCCTCGACAACTCATCCTTCGGGCGACACAATCAAGCACCTACTTTTGCGCCTTATCACTCTTCACCGGGGACGTTCGAGTTTATGCCGCCCCGTGCCCAACCAACAGCAGCTGCATCACAACAAACACCAAACGAAATCCTAAGTCTCCAGGCGCAGTTCTCGCACGTGATAAAACTGCAGACATCCTCACCGTTCAACGGACACGACTTCTTTACCTGGAGCTTCGAGTTCGAGCTGCTAATGGAGGCCGCGCATCTTCTGGGATACTTCAACGGGTCCCTGCCATTCCCAAGCAACGGCACTGGAAAGGAACAAGAAATCTTCACGTATCAGTCGCTGCTGGCGTATACGGTTCTCCTGAGAAACCTGTCACCACAAGAGCAGCAGAGCATCAGAACGTATCGGAGTTATGGAAACTCCGCGGAACTCGCATGGCATCATCTCAAGTGCCTCTATCAAGCAAACGACAGCGTGACACAAAGCAGACTCATGCAACAGCTGACAACAATACAGATGAAGACCGGGGAAAAGGCGATGCAGTATATGAGTCGCTGCCAGACCCTCCGCGACCGCCTGCTACGGTGTGGAGGAACGATCACTGAAGAAAGCTTCGTAACACTTGTCCTCGCCGGGCTCGGGCCAGAATGGAGAACCACACGATCACTTCTTCGAGCCCACGGAAGAATTTCGGAGATGCACCTCTGCGCCGAGCTTCACGCTGAACAACAGGAGATGGACCTGTTCGAGGAAAGACAACCAAGGAAGCAACAGCAGTTAGTCTTCTACACTCAAAGAAGAAATGACAACAACTACAACCGACGCAACAAGCAAGATCAACGCGACATCCGAGGACTCACCATCGTACCACCGTTCTGCCACAACTGCCAGACTTCCGGGCACTCCAAAGTCAACTGCAACCGCCCTCGCGTTTACCGTCCAGCAGACCCACAAGTCGCTTCCACTCAAGCAAGTTCCCCAAGGCGCTCTTCAACATCTGCACAACAAACACCAAACATTATCAATTGCATGGTACACATCGACAACTGCGCACCCGGATCACCACCCACCTACGCGCCAGACGAAGAAGAGCTGCCGCCACCGCGCTCACAAGGCCTTCAAGTCAATCCAACATATGCTGCGGTCGCCAACGCCGAACCCACCGGGCGAAACACCTGGTTCTTGGACAGCTGCTGCGGTCAACACATGTGCTCCTCAGGACGCTTCGTGCAACAGGAGAAACGCCTCAACCGCGACGTCGTCATCACCGTCGCCAACAACGAAAACCTGAAGACAAACAGACAAGGCGTGGTTCAGTTACAATCCATGGAGACAAACGTTATACTTCAGCTCAACAAAGTGCTAATTGTCGACAATCTGGGATACAACCTACTAAGCGTAAGCCAACTAATGGCCAAAGGGATTCACCTGGAGTGCGACTCCTACTCCAACGAGTTTCGGCTTTACCACGGGAAGGGCGGCCTCTTCATCGGTCGTGCCCTCCTGAAGTCCGGCGTCTTCGTGTTGGACTTCGTCCCCGACCGCGGTACTGCCGACAGCGACGGTATCGTATCGTTCGCCGCCTGGACTCACCCGCCAGATCTTGACCCTGACTTCGACAGTGACGGCTTCTGGCACTCCAACACCATACCTGCAGCAGAGAGAACACGAGCATTAGCAGTTATCAGACAAGAAAGACAAGTACCCGCAAGTATCCCAACCAAACCATCACCTGCACTATCGGCAGCAGGACCCAGCCGAGTCCCACCACCAGCGACCCGAGGACCGCCAACCGAAGCAGACCAACTTATGCCCGCCACACGAGAAGCTTGTCGAAGTCCCGCCTCGGTCGTCGCGTTCTTCTCCAACGCCGACATCTACCACCGCTCACCCGGCCATCGCGCTCCCGACGACATCTGGCACCAACGCCTCGGGCACCCTGCAAATAGTACAATACTACAAACCATCCAAGCCGAAGTGTTAGAACGCAACGCCCTCCTAACAACGAACGGCCAAGAACTTCGACGACCTCGCGCACGGTGCTTCACGTGCCCCGAAGCAGATCTTCCTCATCAACCATTCCCATCACATCATAATCCAAGCGCGCCTGCATATGCAACGATGGAAAAAGTCTACAGCGACATCTTGAACATGCCTCGAGACGACACGGAAGCCGACTTCAACTACGTCATCACCTTCGTCGATGCAGCAACAAGATACACTTGGCATTACAACCTCAAGACGCGCGATCAAGCCTTCGACGCCTTCACAACATGGCTCCCCATAGCCGAACGGGAATCAGGAACCAAGCTAAAAAGTTTCCAGTCAGACGGCGCACTGGAATACCAGTCACAATGCTTCAGGACCTATCTGGCGGAAAGAGGAATCAGGCGCCTGGTGTCCCTACCATACGCTCACCAGCAGCAGGGGGTCGCAGAACGCATGAACCGGACCTTGCAGACGACGATGCGAAAGCTGCTCCTGGGAATGAAACTGCCCACCACACTGTGGCCAGACGCGATGACACATGCAGTCCACCTGCACAACCTGTTGTCCTCGTCATCGCTCCCCAACAACGCATCACCACACCTGCTGTGGACGGGAAAAAGGGGCAGCACAAAATTACTTCGAGTTTTCGGCTGCATGGTACAATACAGACCCCACACAGCTCGAGCAGGACGCTTCACTCAACGAGCTCGGTGGGGACTACACCTCGGCATCGCCAAACATTTTCACGCGTGGAAGATTCTCGACATACAAGACAAAAATACGGTGGCATCACGTGATGTTATCTTCTACGAGCGACTGACGCTGCAGCATTACCTGGACAACATTGCCAACTCAGACGACCCCACCGACGGCTTCGCGGGCCTTCGCTCCTTCGCTGACCATGCTGCCGAGGCTGACGCAGCAGAAGAAGACGTCCCTGGAGCCTCGGAGGTTGCCGGACAACTCCCCTACTGCTCCGTACCTGTTCCACTCGATGAAGATAATCCCCTCGATAGCAACAACCTCGACACCTTTTACCACTTCGCTGACCAAGGCTACGCTACACCACACCCCGTCGACTCGAATATTTCCGAACGCATCGGGCCAAACTTCTTACCCGATCCTGAAGACGGTGATGAAGCAGCTTATCCCGGGAATGAAAATTCCCCTCGACACACAGCCACGGGACTGCAGATCCTAGGACTATGGGTCTCCGTTCAGCACCCGCCGCCGCCTTCTCCGCGCGAGCCATCGACCCTGTCGCAGGCTCTGGGGGGGGAACATAAGGCGGAATGGAAGGAAGCAATGAAAAAAGAGTTAAAAGCCCTCCAAGACCGGAATACATGGAAGTTAGTACCAACAACCAACACCAACGGGAGGAACATTCTCTCGGGGAAATGGGTGTACCGCATTAAGACCAACGCGGACGGCTCCATCGAACGTTTTAAAGCGCGATGGGTCGTACGAGGCTTCGACCAACGATACGGAACCGACTACACAGAAACCTTCGCCCCAGTCTCCCGTCACACCTCCCTGCGCATCCTACTCGCCGTCGCGGCCACGAAGAAACTACCACTACGGCAAATTGACGTCGCAAACGCCTTCTTGTACGCACCTGTGGACGCCGAAATCTTCGTCGAACAACCCCACGGATTCATCGACGACCCTTCAAAAGTATGCCAGCTGGAAAAATCCCTTTACGGGATCAAGCAAGCCCCACGGCTCTGGCAGCAGCACCTTCACGGCCGGCTCGTAAAAATCGGATTCCTACAGTTACCACATGACCAAGGCATGTACCGACTGCAGAAGGGAAGAGATTACATTCTGCTCATAGTCTACGTCGACGACCTGCTCTACATCGGTTCTACCACCGACATCGTCACCTGGTTCGAAGGGGAGCTGAAAGGGGACCTGACGCTCACGGTGTCCGACTCAGTGACCCAGTACTTGGGACTAAATGTCGTCGAAGACAACTCGGCGTTCTACCTACACGCTGGAAAGTACGCAGGCACTATCGCGAAGAAATTCGGACTGACGCCGACTACGGTCCCGACTCCCTACCGCTACGGAAACAACAACAGCGCCTCCGCAAAACTCCCCGCGAAGCAAATCCAGGAGTATCAACAGAAGCTCGGTTGCCTACTATTCGCAGCAGTCACCTGCCGACCCGACCTGTCCTATAGTGCGAGTCAACTAGCGACGCATCTGAAGCAACCGGAACAGGAAGATCTCGAGGAACTCAACCGGGCACTACTCTACTTCGTCTCCACGCCGACGATCGGACTTACCTACAGCAAAGCGACAACACCGTCCGTACAACTACTCGGATACGTCGACGCCGACCACGCGGGAGACAGGGAAAATCGACGATCTAGGACGGGCTACATCTACCGACTAGAACCCATCGGAACTATCTCCTGGCAGTCGAGCAAGCAGGAGTTAATCGCACTATCCTCGGCTGAAGCAGAGTACATCGCCCTTTGTACTGCGACCAAGGAAGGACTCTACCTGCGAGAGTTACTCGAGGAAGCGAAGATCACGACCCTGCCCGCCTTCTCACTCTTCTGCGACAACCAATCTGCGATCAAAATCGCAAACAAGGACGGCTTCGCCAACCGAACCAAACACATCGCCCTGCGGTACTTCTTCGTCAAAGATGAAATCGCGAAAGGGAGACTTCAACTCAGTTACTGCCCGACGACAGAAATGGCCGCAGACTATTTGACGAAGAAATTGGCAAAAGCAAAATTCGACTACTGCATGTTGCTGACCGGACAAACAAACGTCATCGGACCTGAACAAGTCAGCACTCCAGAAACGAAGGGGAGTGTTGAAAGTACATCAAAAGACTTAAGCGTTTCTGAAGTGTAACACTACACTCGAGGAAGATTGCAAACGGTACGCGAGTCAACGGAGGTTACACGAGGGGGCGGACAAAGAACACGAAGGGTTTGGGACTCAAAGGGTCGCAACTGGAGGTTGCGACTGACCGTTACAACAGCACGGATGGTAACCGAAGCGACAATCGAGTCGCTGTACGACTCGATAAACCGCTACTGCAACTGTACTCTACAACTGTTCCTTATCTTCTATATATTGCTGTATGTTTGCCTTTTTTATTAATCACTTGTTCTCACATACTAGTACAAGGGTTCAACTGCCTCAACTTCCGCTGCACTACTCCAAGCCTCAAGTCTCTATAGCTGGACTTAGTCTCTGCAAAAGATCCTAAGGGCTTTTCTCAGCCCAACACTTATCTCCTATATATTGCTGTACCGTAATCCCCCGGATATAACACCCGCCGGAATTGAGCACCCCCTGGTGTTGTATCCGGGGAGGGTATACTATTGAAGAATCCGCAATTATATACCCCCTTTTTGAGGGTTCCAGGAGAGCACCCCCCCTGTTAGTTTTACCTATGTTTTGTTTTTGCTCATAGTCAACTTCAAGCTTGATTTTCCAACTACAACAGGATGCATTATGCCCTAAACCCTAAACCTTGCTCAGCCACCAATGCACCCCGCAGTCTACTGCATCCCCTATGCCGAATCTTCCTCCACAGCCTCCCTGCGAGGGTCCTACAGCTCATCCTCCCAAGGCAGCTCCTCCTCCTCGTCCTCTTCCTCTCCATCCACCTCGGCCTCACCACTACTCTCCTCGTCGGAGTCGCATCCTGAGAAATCCTCCGAGCAGGCATCCTCATCCCGAGGCTCCGAGACCACCTCTGGAATGCTGTGGGGATCCTAGTCAGGCACAGCGGCAGTCGGCTCAGGGAAGTTGGGGGAGTCTTCAGGAACAACCTCCTCCAGCACCTCCACTTCATTGCCGTCCCGCATGTGAGCGAGGATCAGATGATCCTCGCTCCCATTTGTGGCATTCGATATGCCACAGGTCTTGAATGCCTTGGTGATGACCGATTCAGGGACGGCCGCCCAAGCACGGGAGATCCACTTCAGGACGACTTCCGGAGGCGGTTTCTTGAGATTTCCTGAAAGGCACAACATAAACACGCAGGTTAGTAGACAGCAAGTGAGCCAACACGGAACAAGCGCACGTGGTAGGAGGGGCACAAAACAACACGTACCGGCCTTCGTGGTAGCGTTGATGCCCTCCTCGGCAAACCACTTGGTGTACTGTGAACGAACCCCCGCTTTAAAGCTTTTGTTGATGCTGACGTCTAATGGCTGCACGTAGGGTGTGCAGCCACCGGGGATAACTGCGGGGAAGAGTTTGAAGAGGGAGAAGGTAGCCCGCACTGTCGAAGTCAAGTGCCCCTTGTACGAGTCCAGTACAAGGAGCGAGGCCGGTCGAGGTCCGCGAGGCCGCGACAGGAAGGGCACCACGACCTTCCTCGTCCAGTCCTGGACGAGGCGCTCGTCCATCCAGCCCTTTTGCTGGGCGCGCACCACCACGTCTGAATTAGGGGAGGGGGGCATGGGGGTTGTTTGCACGTATTTAGTTGCCTTCCGAGACATTTCGACGCTGGTTTTTAAAAACCATAGCGAATTCATGGACGCGCATTATAGGACAGAACATACCCGCGGGAGTGTAGCAGTTCGGCGGGTTCTTCCGCTTGAACACGACATAGGCCGGCAGTTTCTCCCCGGTGGCCGTGCATGCAAGCATCACGGTCACCCGTTCCTTCTCGTACCCCGCGGTACGGACATGGACGGTGCGGGTGCCACGACGCTCGAGGGTCCGCTCGAGCGGCATCTCGAGATACAGCGGCGTTTGATCCGCGTTAATGACGTTCTCGGGCGCGATCTGCCGCTTGACCGTCATCTGACGAACAAACTGCCAGAAGCGCTCGCATTTGGGCGCGCTATCTGACAAGCAAAAAAGGAGGAAGAGACACAGAAGCTATGTTAAGACTCAGCCAGAGTGCTAAGGGTATGCAACACTAGACATGAGTGAGGGGCGTGGGAGCTTACCAGCGGGAAGCTTCTGCCCCATCTTCGTCTTAACCCACACGGTGAGGCCCCATCGACGGCGGAAACGAAATGACCACCGCGACGATGCCCTCCACTCGACGGTCGCGAAGTGGTCGCGCATCCAGTCGCGGCTCCAGCTCTGAATCAGCCCCACTGACAGGGGGAGACCGCGTCGCCGCGCGCAGAGATAGCGGCAGAAGACGGCCCGCTCCATGTCGGGGTACTTGGATTTCCGGCCGGCTCCGCGAAGACGCTTCCGACGAGGCGCCGCTCCTTTCAGCTGTTCTTGTGCCTTCCGCCACTCGCGGATCATGACCGGCTGCACCTTCGCCATGCGTGCGACCATCCGCTGCGACGGAGCTGGATGCGTCTCGAACATGGATATCCACATCAGCTTCTCGCGGGCGCTGATGGATCGCCGCTTGTTGCCCGACAGCCTGGCATGAGGCGACGGTGGTCTCGCATCATGATTGACAGACTCAGGCTCGGTCGACGGCTCACTGGACGACGGGAAGGATGGAACCGCGACATCGGGCATAGCCCACGGATCCTCGTCATCGAATGGATCTGCTGCCGCGACAGCAGCAGCTGCTGCCTCGTCGGCATACTCCTCCTCTTCGTCCGCATCCTCATTGTTCTCGTCGCCGGCTGCAGCCTCGTCACCGCCAAGCTCCGGCATGCCATCGTAAGTATCATCGTCCGCCGCTACGTAGCCACGACGCAACCACCCCGTAGCGGTCGGTTGCACTACAGGTGCTGCGCGGCTAGAAGGAGAACCTGCGGTATGCGTGACTTGGCTAGGGGTGCTAGCATTTTTACCTGCTCTACGGCTGAAGAGAACACGGATTCCAGCGTTCGTCATGCGCTTGGGAGAAAAATTTGAGAGAGGAAGGGGTACATACAGAGGCCTGTTCGCAACGGTTCGCCTAGAAATACCGCTGCTGAGGCCCCCTTGCCTAAGTGTCACGGCATTGGCGGGCGACACGTTCAACGTGTCGCCCGAGGCAACGCGACGTCGCCAAGTGACAGCAGAGGTGTCCCGCGCGTGAGAGAGTTTCGTGCTATGGTCCTCTACTGGTTTCCAGCTGCATGGCTCACTGTAACGGGCTTAACCCTTTGGCGCACTTCCAACCTTCAGATCGCGCACATTTGATGCCCGATCGAGCCCACAATATGACGGTTGGATAGTTGAATGTACAGAGATCACAATGCACGTTTAAAAATTTTCATCCTCAAATATAACACCAGGGTGCTATAGCCTAAACGCGAAATAGACCACCCACCCCCCGTTTTTAGCACGAATTTTGTAGTATACCCGGGGTGTTATATCCGGGGGATTACGGTATGCTTGTTCCTTTAATCAATCACTTGTTCTCACATACTAGTACAAGGGTTCAACCGTCTCAACTTCCGCTGCACTACTCAAAGTCTCAAGTCTCCACAGCTGGGACTTAGTCTCTGAAAAGATCCTAAGGGGGCTTTTATCAGCCCAACATGGTATCAGAGCTGGTCAGAGACCAAACTCCCAGCAACTGCGCTCCATCAACCTGCAACTCAACTCAATTCAACGACTTCATTGATCACAAGACATGGACAGCAAGGGCAAGAAAGTCTCTACAGGCTCACCCAGCGGCCAAGAAACTCAACACGGCAACTCTGGTCTGCACACCTCAGGACTGCAGACAGAGACCGGGACTGCTCAAGAAACAACGGGAAGAGTACCTGAAATGGTGACTCCATCTCCCTCTTCAAGCGTGGACCCCAACCTTATGGAAAGGTTCTTCAGCTTCATGTCGCACTTCGACCAGCAGCAGCAGACAAGGACACCTGCGCATTCAACACAGAGCAACGGAGGAAACATGGGATTAGCGCCGATGAGCCTCGACAACTCATCGTTTGGGCGACACAATCAAGCGCCTACCTTTGCGCCTTATCACTCTTCACCGGGGACGTTCGAGTTCATGCCGCCCCGTGCCCAACCAACAGCAGCTGCATCACAACAAACACCAAACGAAATCTTAAGTCTCCAGGCGCAGTTTTCACACGTGATTAAACTGCAGACATCCTCACCGTTCAACGGACACGACTTCTTTACCTGGAGCTTCGAGTTCGAGCTGCTGATGGAGGCTGCGCATCTCCTGGGATACTTCAACGGGTCCCTGCCATTCCCAAGCAACGGCACTGGAAAGGAACAAGAAATCTTTACGTATCAGTCGCTGCTGGCGTATACGGTTCTCCTGAGAAACCTGTCACCACAAGAACAGCAGAGCATCAGAACATACAGGAGCTATGGAAACTCCGCGGAACTCGCATGGCACCATCTCAAGTGCCTCTACCAAGCAAACGACAGCGTGACACAAAGCAGACTCATGCAACAACTGACAACAATACAAATGAAGACCGGGGAAAAGGCGATGCAGTATATGAGTCGCTGCCAGACCCTCCGCGACCGCCTGCTTCGGTGCGGAGGAACAATCACTGAAGAAAGCTTCGTGACACTTGTCCTCGCCGGGCTCGGGCCAGAATGGAGAACCACCCGATCGCTTCTTCGCGCCCACGGAAGGATTTCGGAGATGCACCTCTGCGCCGAGCTTCACGCTGAACAACAAGAGATGGACCTGTTCGAAGAAAGACAACCAAGGAAGCAGCAGCAGTTAGTCTTCTACACTCAACGAAGAAACGACAACACCTACAATCGACGCGGCAAGCAAGAACGCGAAAACTGGGGATTTACCTTCGTGCCGCCGTTCTGCCACAACTGCCAGACTTCCGGGCACTCCAAGATCAACTGCAACCGCCCTCGCGTTTACCGCCCAGCAGACCCACAAGTCGCTTCCACTCAAGCAAGTCCCCCAAGACGCTCCTCAACATCTGCACAACAGACACCAAACATTATCAATTGCATGGTACACATCGACAACTGCGCACCCGGATCACCACCCACTTACGCACCAGACGAAGAAGAGCTCCCGCCACCGCGCTCACAAGGCCTTCAAGTCAATCCAACATACGCTGCGGTCGCCAACGCCGAACCCACCGGGCGAAACACCTGGTTCTTGGACAGCTGCTGCGGTCAACACATGTGCTCTTCGGGACGCTTCGTGCAACGAGAGAAACGCCTCAACCGCGACGTCATCATCACCGTCGCCAACAACGAAAACCTGAAAACAAACAGACAAGGCGTGGTTCAGTTACAATCCATCGAGACAAACGTCATACTTCAGCTCAACAAAGTCCTCATTGTCGACAACTTGGGATACAACCTACTAAGCGTAAGCCAACTAATGGCCAAAGGGATTCACCTGGAGTGCGACTCCTACTCCAACGAGTTTCGGCTTTACCACGGGAAGGGCGGCCTCTTCATCGGTCGTGCCCTCCTGAAGTCCGGCGTCTTCGTGTTGGACTTCGTCCCCGACCGCGGTACTGCCGACAGCGACGGCATCGTATCATTCGCCGCCTGGACACACCCGCCGGATCTTGATCCAGAATTCGACAGTGACGGCTTCTGGCACTCCAACACCATACCTGCAGCAGAAAGAACACGAGCATTAGCAGTCATCAGACAAGAAAGACAAGTACCCGCGAGTATCCCTACCAAACCATCACCTGCAGTAGCAGCACCAGGACCCAGCCGAGTACCACCACCAGCGATCCGAGGACCGCCAACCGAAGCAGACCAGCTTATGCCCATCACACGAGAAGTCTGTCGAAGTCCCGCCACAGTCGTCGCGTTCTTCTCCAACGCCGATATATACCACCGCTCGCCGGGTCATCGCGCTTCCGACGACATCTGGCACCAACGCCTCGGGCATCCTGCAAACAGCACGATACTACAGACAATCCAAGCAGAGGTGTTAGAACGCAACGCCCTCCTAACGACGAACGGCCAAGAACTTCGACGACCACGAGCACGGTGCTTCACGTGCCCCGAAGCAGATCTTCCCCATCAGCCTTTTCCATCTCATCACAGCCCAAGCGCACCTACATACGCTCCGATGGAAAAAGTCTACAGCGATATCTTAAACATGCCTCGAGAAGACACCGAAGCCGACTTCAACTACGTCATAACGTTCATCGACGCAGCAACCAGATACGTCTGGCACTTCAATCTCAAGACGCGCGATCAAGCTTTCGACGCCTTCACAACATGGCTTCCCATCGCCGAACGAGAATCAGGAACCAAGCTCAAGAGCTTCCAGTCAGACGGTGCACTGGAATACCAGTCACAACGCTTCAGGACCTATCTGGCGGAAAAAGGAATCAGACGCCTGGTGTCTCTGCCCTATGCTCACCAGCAGCAGGGGGTCGCAGAACGAATGAACCAGACCTTGCAGACGACGATGCGAAAACTGCTTCTGGGGATGAGGCTGCCAACCACACTGTGGCCAGACGCGATGACACATGCAGTTCACCTGCACAACCTGCTGTCCTCGTCATCGCTTCCCAACAACGCATCACCGCACCTGTTGTGGACAAGAAAAAGGGGCAGCACAAAATTACTCCGAGTTTTCGGTTGCATGGTACAGTGCAGACCCCACACAGCCCGAGCAGGACGCTTCACACAACGAGCTCGGTGGGGACTACACCTCGGCATCGCCAAACATTTTCACGCGTGGAAAATTCTCGACATACAAGACAAAAATACCGTGGCATCACGTGATGTTATCTTCTACAAGCGACTGACGCTGCAGCATTACCTGGACAACATTGCCAACACACAAGACCCCACCGACGGCTTCTCGGGACTTCGTTCCTTCGCCGACCGTGCTGCCGAAGCTGACGCGGCAAAAGAAGACGTACCTGAAGCCTCGGAAGCTGCCGGACCACTCCCATTCTGTTCCGTACCTGTTCCACTCGACGAAGACAATCCTCTCGATAGCAACAACCTCGACACCTTTTACCACTTCGCTGACCAAGGTTATATTACACCCCACCCAGTCGACACAAATGTTTCAGAACGCATCGGTCCCAACTTCTTACCTGACCCAGAAGACGGTGACGAAGCAGCTTATTCCGGGAATGAAAATTCCCCTCGACACACACCCACGGGACTGCAGATTCTAGGCCTCTGGGTCTCCGTCCAGCATCCGCCGCCGCCTTCTCCGCGAGAGCCTTCGACCCTGTCGCAGGCTCTGGGGGGGGAATATAAGGCGAAATGGAAGGAAGCGATGGAAAAGGAGTTAAAGGCTCTGCAAGACCGGAAAACATGGAAACTGGTACCTGCAACAAGCATCAACGGAAAAAACGTCCTCTCGGGGAAATGGGTGTACCGCATTAAGACCAACTCAGACGGCTCCATCGAACGATTCAAAGCTCGATGGGTCGTACGAGGCTTCGATCAACGATACGGAACCGACTACACAGAAACCTTCGCTCCAGTCTGCCGTCACACCTCATTACGCATCCTACCCGCCGTCGCGGCCACGAAGACATTACCACTACGCCAAATCGACGTCGCGAATGCGTTCCTATACGCACCTGTGGACGCCGAGATTTTCGTCGAACAACCCCACGGATTCATCGACGACCCCACGAAAGTATGCCAACTGACAAAATCCCTATACGGGATCAAGCAAGCCCCGCGGCTCTGGCAGCAGCATCTCCACGGCCGTCTCGCAAAAATCGGATTCCTACAGCTGCCGCATGACCAAGGGATGTACCGACTGCAGAAGGGAAGAGAGTATATCCTACTCATCGTCTACGTCGACGACCTGCTCTACATCGGCTCCACTACCGACATCGCCACCTGGTTCGAACGGGAGCTGAAAGAAGACTTAACTCTCACGGTGTCCGACGAAGTCACCCAGTACCTAGGACTGAATGTCGTCGAAGACAACTCGGCGTTCTACCTACATGCTGGAAAGTACTCAGGCACCGTCGCGAAGAAATTCGGTCTAACGCCGACTACGGTCCCAACTCCCTACCACTACGGGAACAACAACAGCACCTCCGCAAAACTCCCCGCGAAGCAAATCCGGGAGTATCAACAGAAGCTCGGCTGCCTACTATTCGCAGCAGTAACCTGCCGACCCGACCTGTCCTACAGTGCGAGTCAACTAGCAACGCATCTGAAGCAACCGGAACAGGAAAATCTCGAGGAGCTCAACCGGGCACTACTCTACTTCGTCTCCACGCCGACGATCGGACTTACCTACAGTAAAGCGACAACACCGTCCGTACGACTACTCGGATACGTCGACGCCGATCACGCGGGCGATAGGGAAAATCGACGATCTAGGACGGGCTACATCTACCGACTAGAACCCATCGGAACTATCTCCTGGCAATCGAGCAAGTAGGAGTTAATCGCACTATCCTCGGCTGAAGCAGAGTATATCGCCCTTTGTACTGCGACCAAGGAAGGACTCTACCTGCGGGAGTTACTCGAGGAAGCGAAGATCGCGACCCTGCCCGCCTTCTCACTCCTCTGCGACAACCAATCTGCGATCAAAATCGCGAACAAGGACGGCTTCGCCAACCGAACCAAGCACATCGCCCTGCGGTACTTCTTCGTCAATTATGAAATCGCGAAGGGGAGACTTCAACTTAGTTACTGCCCGACGACAGAAATGGCCGCGGATTATCTGACGAAGAAATTGGCGAAAGCAAAATTCGACTACTGCATGCTCCTGACCGGGCAAACAAACGTCACCGGATCTGAACATGCCAGCACTCCAGAAACGAAGGGGAGTGCTGGAAATATCTCAAAGGACTTAAGCGTTTCTGAAGTATAACACTGTACTCGAGGAAGATTACAGGGGAGCACGCGAGTCAACGGAGGTTGCACGAGGGGGCGGACAAAGAATGCGAAAAGACTCGAAAGGTCGCAACTGGAGGTTACGACTGACCGTTACAACATCACGGATGGTAACCGAAGCGGCAATCGAGTCGCTGTGCGACTCGATAAACCGCTCCTGTAACTGTATTCTACAACCGCTTTCTTATCTCCTATATATTGCTGTATGCTTGTTCCTTTAATCAATCACTTGTTCTCACATACTAGTACAAGGGTTCAACCGTCTCAACTTTCGCTGCACTACTCAAAGTCTCAAGTCTCCACAGCTGGGACTTAGTCTCTGAAAAGATCCTAAGGGGGCTTTTATCAGCCCAACACACGTGAATGCAATTTTAAGAGCTAAGTTTCTTAGGTAGGTGCACACACTTCTGCACACACACAGGTTGCCGTGCACACACAGGTTCTCGTCCCGCGCCTGGGCCGTCTCTGTGAACGCCTTGGCATTGACAGTGTCGTCAGCGAAGCTAGTAAGAGCCTTTTGTTAGAATATTCTCCCTTCATTCTATTAGCCTACATCGTTTCATTGTCTTAGGTACTTATAAGCACCCCACTAAGGTGTATACACCCAAGTTGGGGGTTGGG